AAAGTGAATTATAATTAATAAATTATTTTTAATAAATATTTTAAATCATTTTAATTTTAAATTAAAAAATATGAAAGAAGAATAAATAATTTAAATTAAAAAATATAAAAGAAGAGTAAATAACAAATATAATAATTAATCTTGCCTTGCTATCGAGTAACACACATCAAAATAAATAACCTTTTAACGTTCTAGACCTTAGAAACCTAAGTAAAGCCCTAAATACTTTCCTAGATTTACGCGAATAACTGAGATTTTAAATATCGACACATCGGAAACCAAAATTTAAAATAAATCCGCCAAAAAATCCGTTAAGATAGTTATATTTAAAATAAAATTCTAGATTTAAAAAAACACTACTACACTACATAGAAAATTTACAACTGTAGATTTAATTATAACAAGCTATATGTTTTTTTTTATTTTGTATTTAAATTTTAAGTGAGTCAATTCTGTACATTAAATATTTTTTAGAAAATTTTATTGAAATAGTCATTATTGTATTGTAGATATAGAGACCGAATCTATAGTTTATTTATGGAATTTTTGTCTGTCTGTTTGCCTGGGAACGCATCACGAGAAAACCAATGGACAGATTTTGATGAAATTTGGTATGATGATAGCTGGTTATCCGGGTCAACATATAGGATACTTTTTACTGCGGGAACATATCTCATCTCTGAGAAATCTATACTAACCGTTAAAACTTACCTAGGGACGAACCCTAGCGGAAGAAGGATAAGTCGCTAGTCTATAATAAAATATGTACCTACATTTGAAAAAAAAGCCATAATAATGTCAATCTATTTTTAGATATATTTTTAATTAATGAGTAAAAATTGACTTTTAGATTCGCGATTACTTATTTTTAAGCAGAGCAACATCTGGACTCTCGGCAACGTAAAGATAGGAAAACACTTTATGATACATAAGGTAACGCTAAAAACTTTAATAGCTTTAAACTGAATAAGATGGGTCGTTATATAACCGATGTCCATACATATCGAAACTTATGCAGTCTTCTGTGGACATAAAAGAAACCTATTTCGTAATATAGAGAGAGAGATAATGTCAGACGGGACGTTAATTAAAAAAAATGATAATTTTAATACTTATTTCGATATACTCGTATTTAAGCGTCATCAACAATAGTTAATATAATTCTACACAAAACAGAGCCGAATGAAAAACAATGTGTAATTTAAAAAATATATATATCTAACTCTCAACCTTAGTTCAAGTGAGCGTTATTTTTGCAAGCGTCTGTTAATGCAAAAAGTCAACTAGATATTCCTATCTAGGTCCTTTTTTGCCTTAAATGAATGTCCGTCTCTGATTGCTCGCGATCAGATGCCAGATACGTATTAAAATGTAAATGAATCAGTCACTCGATACACAAGTATAGGCATCGAGCATGAGAACTAGCAAGGTGGGTATCAAATATGTACTAATTAGAGCTTATTTTTACGGGAGCTTAATAAATTATTTACCGTTTCGAGGTTTTTGTTAGACATACACTATAGAATATTAGATATATGTAATATGTATGTATTTGTAATAGGTAATATTTAAATCAAAACTTAAAAAAAAATTGTGACTGATATAGCACGAACGTTACTGAAGTACCACGCGAGGAAACTTGGGACAAAACTAATTTTAAATAATTTTATAATTAAAATTCTGTTTCTTTTTAGCTGTCTTTTTAATTTACGAGGGCATTTTTACAATTAACTTTGCTTTCGCAATAAGCTCTAAGCTCGGTGGGCGCAGCGATCAAAGGTTAACGTTATGTCACATGTCATGTGGTGACATAATAAGAAAGGAATTGTTCATAACCTTCCTGGATAATTCCATTTTGTATTGATGAAAACCCATTCGGTTTTTTTTGAAATTAGCCCGAAGAAACAGAAACTAAGCGCGACGCGGGACTTTAATACATAATAGATAGTGATAAAACACCGTGTACTACACGACTCCCTGGTCTTGAAGATTTAACTTATATATTCTTGCAAGGCCATCGCGCTGTGAACCACGACACCAGTAGATATTAAAAATGCTACAGGAAACTATCAGCTGATTTATATGAGAGCTCAATGACCTATCTATCGTTTTCATTACTTTTCATATAAAATTGGACTACAGGATTGATCTGCTAATGAAATTGAAATTCATTATTCTAGATGTTTTTCTGTGTTTTTTTTTCATTACTAAAGATAGAGTTTGACATAAGCTGCATATAAATTATACCTTTGTTTATCAAGTAAAGAAAATTGTATCGAATCGAAAGAAAAATCCAACAAAAAGAAAAAGCACTCATTGAATATTTTTAGGGTTCCGTAACCTACAAACAGAACCCTTATAATTTCTTCATGTCCCACTGCCCCTTTTCTACAGCTATTTTATTCGGAGTTGGAGATACATGTCTAAAATTTAATAAGTGTCTCATGTAAAAATTTACGTCTAATTACAAAATGTTTTTCAAATTACGAAAAAATCTAAAATGGGAGTTGCACTCTATACGTACAATTGGGGGGTGAAAGGAATGTAGGTCCACTAGGTTTTTATTATTTATAGAAATTTTAAACGCCTATTCTTGCATTACACAATAGCCAGTGAGCTCGTTAGCACTACACTATTGGGTGCTGTAGCTAAGATTGCGGACCAAATTGAACATGTCCAAGTAAGAGTAAGTGAACTAATAAATAGGGCGGATGCATTTTGCAAAACATTACGAAATCTATCATAGGCTCATATAAGTCGAGACACGAAACTGCCGCATAAATCTGAACTAACGACTGACCGGGAGTTGCCCAACATTTGTATGAAAATGTACCACTACCAAATGATTCTGATATTGCATCCAAACGCCTATTCCAATTTTATTACCAATTAAGTATATTAATACTATGAAATAATTATGAGAATTTTATTATAATGAAACTATGCCGGCTATTCAAAAATAGAAACTAAGTAGGTTACTTAAAATACACAATACTTGTTTTAAGAAAATAAGCGCCAATCTAATTATCTCGTGCCAAATCTTTGGATGGATTGAATCAGCCATTAGAATCATTGTTTTGTCATAGATAATTCTTTAAATTATTCGTACCTCAAAAATACCCACACTTTGTACTCAAAATACAACTGTCAATCGAAATGTCTTTACTTAACAATCCAACAGATCAACTAATGCAATCTTTAATGTAAATTTTTTGCACATTTTCGTTTCCCTCAAATTGCCCGCATGCATTTAATTGTATTTTGATACGCAACTATGAAAATCCCTATTGATTAAGTTAACAAATAATAAATTTCTTATGTCTTTATGAATATTTCTTTAAAAGCCCTTATGTCCTAAGGATTGCATAGTACGTTAATGTTATATTAAATCATTATACTAGTTTAAATAAACAGATTAATTAGACTCCTGCAAGTAACGAAGCCAGAGACTATATTTAGACATACTTAGTCTAAACAAGAAAATTATAATTTAATACATTCAAGTCTAGACATAATTAAGTTATAATCTTTTTTTGATCCTAAGTAATAAATACCAATATTAATTATAGTTGAATGCAGTAATGGCGATGTGCTGACGGTAAATAATATTATCCAAAATGGACTAATTATGTTATTGCTTTTTATATGCATTTGGGAACTGCATAGCATTTGCAAGGTCACAAGTTCGAGTTGCGTTGAGAGCAACTAATGTAATCTAAACTGCTTTTATATCTGTCTTTAGTTAGACAGAAAGCATGAATAATAAACATTTAGTTATAATATATGTGACCTCCAATTTTTTAATATGATGATGGTCTTAGTATGTAGCAATTAATGTTACTTTGAGGACTTCTTAGAAAATAATAAAATATGTAAATATAAATCAGTAAGCTGTCATAAGGCGCCGAGTGAAGTCAATGGCTTCCACTAGCTTTACTCGGTCACGCATTACTCACTCGACAGTAGCGACCAAGCTAACCAAGTATTTGCGGATCTCGTGACATGCCTAAAGCATTTTTCTATTAAAATTATGGCTCGACACAGTATTTTATAATTTCCTCTCAATTCACACGATGCGAGGAATTTAATATGAATGAAGCATTACGACCGACCACACCTTTTTTAAGACTAATAAAAACGATAACTACGAAGCCTAGAAAAGGAATCAATTTATCTATACGTGGATATAATAAGAAGTTGTGTCTCTGCATAATCATTTTTATCTGAGCCAATTCATGCAAAATGTACATTCTATTCTCGTGTCAGTTTTTAGTTCCATATATCCTGCATGTCCTTTCGTCGTCCGTACGTCGAGAAACGTGTATGAAGAAACGAAAGTTTGAGTATCAACGTGCCATTAGAAATATAAAATATTTCAGTTAAAAACTCTTCGGTTTAAATATTATTTAATATATAAATTCATTTTTTACAGCTGTTGTTACTAGAAAGCTCTCGCTTCAGTTATGTTTATGGTGTCTAATACATTATACATGATGCTTTGTGTTTTATTATTTTATTTTAGCTTTATTATATTTGTATAGTTATATTTATATAAGTATAATCCTACAGATGCGCACACAGCAACATTTTACGAAAGAGACTTACTATTGTTAAAATGTCTAAAAAAACAACAAAATAGTGAGAAATATTTTAAATAAAACTATCTTTTCGGATTACTTATTAAATTTAGAAATAAAAATCAATAAATATTGTAAGGTACTTTATTGCCATTTTTTAAAATTATTGAAATCATTTTTGTAAAATAGTGGGTAGGCTCTGTCTGTAACAAGTATGTTTTTGAGACGTCTATAACATTAGTCTCTCCCGCGACCATGATTGTTGTAAAACATTCGAGACGTCGGCAACCAAAAATCAAAATAAATCCGCGAAATAATCCGAAAAGATAGATTTATTTAAAATGTCAAATATTCGCGTAAATTAAAGAAAGTATTAGTGAGAAATACATTTGTTACTATAGCAATAAATATCGCAACTACAAAATGGTGAGAAGTTGCATACAAAACTGCATTAACATGAAATTCCTTACATTTCTACTACATGTAACTTTCAAAAGAAATGTGTTCCATTATTCATAAAGCACAAAGCTGCCGGCGTCCGCGGCGAGTTCGTTTCACAAGCTCCGAAATACATTTTGCAATCACATTTACGCAATTAAATAGAAAAATTCTGCTATTAGTTCTTAGTACAGAGACACTATGTATTATTTATGAGTAAGAATTTTACAACTGAATAAAAGTATACATCATACACGGCATATCTAACATGTTTAGTATTTAAGCATAAAAAGGATGTCGAAGTTTTTATACCTACGTGATTTTTTTTGCAGGGCAAATGCAAATAAAATGGTAACACTAGCTAGTTAATAATAAAATATATAGCCTCACAAAAGAAGTTTTTTATAATTTTAGGCCCACATACCCATAAGATCACTGGTTACAGCCTTAAGATAGACTTATAGACTTAATAGAGGCAACCGTAACTGAAGAACTGAAGTTTCTGTAAATGAAGAAGCTGTAATATTGTTAATGAAGCTACATAGGGACGATTTTTTTTTAATAAATTGATTAATCTTGACATTTTTTTTTTCATTCAATCACCATGGCCTCCATTTTCAGCATACATTCAATATTTAATTTTACGGTTGCAAAGCATGAAATTTTATTTATTTTTCTACAATTTAACCGATATTCTTACCACGCGAGCGGCGCCGCGGGCAAAAATAGTATTAATTAAATTTGATAATCAAAACATAAAATCACAACCTAGCCCATAAAAATTTACAACATTTAGCACGTTATCTTCAGTCGTAGATATAACTACGAATTACAAAACTTCAGTAACTATTTAGACTTTAATAGTTTAATTGTAATCCATATATTATTAACTAGCAGAACCCGCGGCTTCGCTCGCGTTAAAGCTACAAACAAAATCTCTAAAAAGGTAGTTTCATACAAACTTTCATCCCCTATTTTAACCCCTTATAGAATGAATTTCAATAAATGCTAAAATACGTATTTATTTAATTTTATTGAAAAACATCAATACAAAGTTTCAAGTAATTCTGATCATATTTTTTTATTGTATTATAACGTGTTTTCCCATGGGAATGAATTGATTTCCCGCGGTAAAAAGTAGCCTATGTCACTCTCCAGCCCTCCAACTATCTCCACACAAAAATCACTCCAATTCGTCACTTCATTTAGACGTGAAAGAAGGACAAACAAACGAACAAATAAACAAACAAACAAACAAACAAACAAACAAACAAACACACTTTCACATTTATAATATTAGTATGGATGTGAATGTAACTCTGTATATCTATTTCTTACATTTCCACGATTGTACATTGGAAAAGATTTAGATAAAAGGAAGTACATCGATTGTATTATAAGAACGGAAATAAGTGACTTTTAATCTCAGTCCCGCTTCCCGCGAGCAGAACTGCGGACCAAAGCCAGTCAAAAATAAGTAAATCTTTAAGGTTTGCTTCATTTAACGACAATAACGCAATAATTGACTATAAACTAAAACCCAATTAAAATATATGTATTTATACTAAGAATAGCAAGAAGGCCCTTTAAAGGAACCAACGTTGGCTTAGCAATAGAACTCATTAAAGCAATTAAAAAAAATCTTTAAATAAAATGCAAATTGTGTATACTTTGTCATTTTTTATCCTTAATTCTAAAATAACAAGAACTAGTATTACAACAAAACTATTTTTTATACTCTTATCAAATATAGTAAGTAATTAATTAATATAATCTTTTTGACATGTTCTTCGAAGCTTAATATTTAATTACCCAATTTAGTTTTCACAATGCTCTCAACAATTTCTACTAGAAGATTGTGCTGAAGATTCACGACAAAATCCGTACAAAAGAACCCGCTTCTTTTCTCGTAATCACAATCTCACATAAAAAGTGAGACTAAGACACCAATAAAATGCAACAACATAGTACGATAGCAATATATTTCAAAATAAAATTTATCAATTAGGGATTTAAAATTAGACCTACCAATCACGTATGCAAATATCAAACCAAATAGCGCACACCAGCATTAGATACTGTAGGTATAACGATAAAATCAATCTTAAGTAATCTATATCTCATGTAACCGCCCTTATACATTCCTTAGATACGCACTGAAATTAGTGACCTAGGATATCTAACCCAGTCCTAGCCCATGTGATCTAGATCGATTTGAAATAACCACATTGGTATAAAAGGTGTGCAAGCGCAATAATCGGTCAGACTACATTTTTACTTCGGTAGCAACGGTCAACATGCGATCCCTAGTAAGTAATGCTTTTATAACATTCATTCCCTTCATTTTATAATTATAAAATGAAGGAAAATTTAGTTTGATAAAATTAAACCCAAATTACAATACCGGAAAGTTAGTAAAAGTTAGAGAGAAAACATAATCACAACAAAGGATTTTATAAAGATGTCCTGAAAACTGTATTACAATTGCCGCATATAAAATATTCTCGTTGTAAATTTTAAATATCAACTCTTACTTTTATATGTTATCATTTGTATCATTATTTCTTTATTTTCAGGTACTTTTCGCCCTCCTCTCCGTGGCCGCGGCCAGGCCCAAACCAGGCTATCTCGGAGGATGGGACTCTGGTGTAAGTAATTAAGTATACAAAATTTATAAATTTTCTTATTTCAAACCACTTCTTTTATAAATACATTGAAATGAATACTATTTTCTTTATAATTTGAAAGCATAATGAGAAATATTCAAATTTGCAACCTGTACAGACAATGCCAAACGATTCATTCAACAATGCAATGCAATGCTGAATGAATGATGAAATGATTACTGACAATATAATACTGATATATATATTATAAATAGTATGTCTTCTATTATATATATGTATATATATACTGATAATACTGATACTGACAATGCCATTCAATTCAATTTTCTTGTTCTTCAAAGCGTGCCAGTTGAGCACAGATTACTTCGCCAATGTCACGTAGAAAGGAGAAGACATACTATTTATCAGACCTGAAGCACTCTATAACATCACGATTTTTATCAAAAAAATCTAATATGTACAAGTTAAAATAACAAAGATTTTGCAATCGAAACATCAGCGATAGCTCATTGGTAACACGCCAAAAAATTAGTAAAAGCCAAATGAAATGGGTTCAAACCCAAGTGTCATATCTCTGAGAAATTTATATACAAATTATTTCCATAAAGTTTCCTTTATGGAAATAATTTGTAGTCATGAAGAGCTTGCATATATGAAGGAACTTAACTGTTTAAGGAAAGCCGTGTGAAATGCATGTAAACCCCATTTAATCATTGTGGTGACCTCTCGCGTTGCAGTACAACCTCTGCTGCAACAGTGGGATGTTAATAAAGCTTAATAGCTATATACAATTTAAACGGAAGGTAGAAAGCTATCTCATTTCACATTTTCTCGAACAATACAAGAATTAATGTTTAACGCTATATACATACAAAGTAAATATAAAAGTAATAAGAAAGTCTTGCTAAAATTTAATGTTTCTGATCCGCAGTTAGATATTGGACACGGAGCACTGACGCTGGAGCACGCGCCCGTGCTGCAGGCCGCGCCGGTTATCCACGCCGCGCCCGTCGTGCACGCCGCCCCCGTCGCCGTCGCTAAGGCAGCCACCAGCTACTCCTCCTTCCAACGGGTACGTCACACTATTATTATAATGTAAATTTTGTAGTGACCCTACTTGCTGTGCCCGCGGTCGCGGGTTCGACTTCCGCTGGGGGCATTCATTTGTGTGATGAGCACGAACGTTTGTACTCCAGTCATGGGTATATTTATAATATGTATGTATGTATTTGAAGTTATATACGTGTAGTGTATCATCTATCTGGTATCTATAACACGGGCCTCGTAGCTTAACATGGAACTAGATAGTGCTGTGTGTTAATGTTCCAACATATTTATATTTAGTATTTCTTCACGCTGAAACGGTTGGACGGATTTGGTTACAATTAGATGATAAATAGACCTGAAGTAACACATAATATGTATCCACTTAGAAACGCATCCGAGAGAAAATAGGGGTAAGTTGCTATTAGTTGATATATCAACGATAGTTCAAAATATAAAGGTTAGATATGGACTTTAAGAAAATGATTTAATTTAACTTAATCGTCACCTTAGTGCTTATTTATTCAAACGACCAGTTCTTATTATACTTTACAGTAGAGTATTCTTTTCTTCTACTTTAAAAACATAGCTTTACTTCTAAGATTTATATTATATATATATATATATATATATATATATATATATATATATTTATATTGTTAATCTACAAACGATCATGATTTAGTCTCAATTTAATCGCAGCTAGTGTTCATATTGTCCAACTTTATTTACTTTACTTCAATAACCGGATCGAAAAACATATGTAAAAACGACACAGTTTCAAAATGATGTGAAAAATAACTTTATAATATTAACTAGCTACCTATTGTAATATCTAATGTCTTATTTGCAGGTGATCCACCCAGTAGCGCATCACGTAGTGGCACAGCCCGTGGTCCATGCGGCCCCCGTGATCCATGCGGCGCCCGTGGTCCATACGGTCGCCCAGCCCATCATCTCGCATGGCTCCATCGGCGGCTACGGCTACGGCCACGGATGGTAGTTAACTTAATTGTAAATAATGTTTATGTTTGTTAGCGCGTTGAGATCATGCCCGATTTGTCCGGGCGGTGCAAATAAATATTTATATCAGTATTTGTAACATTGCATTTGATTTTACCTCTAGATTTCTGATGACGGTCCTTTTTATTTATTTATTTACGTACCATAAAGTATATGTTATACAAAATAAAGTAACAAAATGTTGACAAAGGATAACTTATCTCTTTAAGATGTTTCTTCCAGAAACCCTTCAGAAGTGAGAAAATAAGTTAATTGTCATATAATTTTTTATGTTTCAATAGAATTAAAGGATTAGAATCAAATCAATCAAATCTGTCTCCAATAACTAAACAATAGAGTTTGTTGACTTTCAATTCATACAAAAATGCTATAGAAAAAAAACATTTTCAGTTTTTCCCAATAATCTTAATGTCCGGGCAACTTTTATAATTTTTCCGTAAAAATCTTATTCGAAATATTATAAACATTTTAAAATAAAAAATAGTAATAAAATAAGTTAATTCTCAAGCAATGCGCTACCAACAAACAGCGTTTCATTTTTGTACGAGTATATTAAGAACATGCAATTAGTAAGATTTTTGCGTTTGCAAACAACTGTTTATAGCTTACAGGTAAGTTACAATACATTCAACGCAAAGAACCTTCATTTAGATATATAACTGTGATAAAGCACTCGCCGATAAAATTACAAAGCACTGAAAGTATTAAAATACTGTTATATGTAAAACTGAAGTGATTTCACCAACAATCTAACTTTATTTATTGTTTACTTTGTATGCTGAAGAAGTACATCTTATAAAACATATAGTCAATATATGTATACAAATAAATTAAAATAAATTGAAAAGAAATTTAATAATAGAGTACTATCATTAAATTTCTTTTCAGACGTTTACACAACGGAGAGATGCTGTGGCTAAAGCTTTCTGACGGAATTACTATAAGAGAATAAAACTACCTAATACCTACAGATATACTCTTACTTTAGAACTAGCGGCTCACCCTCGCTTCGCTCGGGTTCGCCTCTATAAAAGCACAAACAGATCTATCCCCCGAGAACCGTTCATTTTCCGGGATAAAAAGTAAACTGTTGTTTGACCGGCAATATAAGGTATCAGCATGCCAAATTTTACTAAATTAAGTGCATGAGTTGTTGTGTACTAAGCTGTATAAGTTACTATAGTTTTCTAACTTTCCCACCGGAACTCTTTAATTTTCTGGAAAAAAAAGTATCTTAGATGTTGCCCAGGGATATAAGGTGCCACCATTGTTCATTTAAATCGGTCCAATAGTTTCGGAGATTAGCCCTACAAACCGACAAACAGACAGAGAAACAAAAATTTGAAAAAAATCTAGATTTGTTCTATTTGTCTTCTTACATCCCCCTGACTCGGGCTTTAGCATTTTTTTTCTATGTACAGACATTCGACTTCTACAGTTTTATTATAGTATAGATACTGCATCGTTGAATATACACGTATGAACATAGTACACATATGTATAACAAATTTTCTTATTGAGGCTAACCTACATGTTGCTTATTAAAATTACACGACACGTCCCGTAATTGACAGGTTTTTCCTTTGACCAATAAAGTAAACTATGTCAATGGAAAAGTCTCAATAATTCACTGAAATTATATATTATGTATAATCAAATATATCGATTGGTTTAGTGATGTAAAGCATTTTGTTGGCTATTGAAATATTTTGACATTATAGGGTAGAGCTAGAATAATATATTTATATTTTGTATCGACATATAAATACATATATTAAAGTTAATAAAATTGTAAAATCAACCAGCTAAGTAAAAATAACAAGAATACTCTAACTTAGATGAAAATTAACAAAAAAATCAAAGACACTTTTAACATTTTACAGTCGCTTGCGTAAATAAAAACTATTCTATTATTTATCTATTTTTTTAATAATTATTTAAAAAAATATACGTCTAAATCATCGCATTTTTCCTGTAACAAGAATCGAATCTGTGCTCAGTACCTAAGATACCAACATCATTCTGATTTTCTGTTTATATTAAAAAATGAAAAGAATATATAGTAAATTACTATAGGTAAACAAGGAAATTCAGAAACACTGGCTTTAAGTTGTTAAATGCGAAAATCACGCGCAAATATAAACAAAACAACTCATGCGATGATGTTTCGATCATAAATTGTAGTAATTGTTTGTTGAATCGATACCGTGGCACATCACTAGACATCGCGTGCAGCAGACTGTCCTGTGCCGGCTCAGAAGTGTGGTGGCCACGAGTTTACAATACTTCGTTTGGAGATTAAAAATAAGTTTTTGATAATACATACATATATGGAAAAATGTATGGTAAAACCTAAATATAGAATTTTCTTTTGAATTAAAAGTATCAACTATCAAAATTAAGTAAAAGCCTAATACTACTATGCCTCCGTCATAATTGTACAATCCAAAGTCTGAACTACTTTTTATTTGCAATGAATTTGGAGTACAAAAAGATTGTTTCGGAATAAGAGGTAAAAGTTCATTAGCTTTATCATGTTACTATACAACTAGAATTATAAATATGTGAACAATAGTAATAGATATAAGAGATAAGATATTTTTCCGCAGTAAAAAGTATCCTAAATGTTGACCTGGATAACCAGCTATCATCATACCAAATTTCATTAAAATCTGTCCAGTGGTTTTCTCATAATGTGTTCCCAGACAGACAGATAAACAGACAGACAAAAATTCTAAAAACTATAGATTCGGCATCTGTATTGATAATAATGTCTACTTCAATAAGATTTTCCAAAAAATATCTTATATACAGATTCGGTTTAGTTAGAGTTTTATTATATGTATAGATATAGATAGATTGTTATTTGATATGTTTATCTATATTATATTTTATCCGAGAAAGTTTTATAATATGGTGACAGTACAGCAGGTAGAACATTTCAATGAGGCAGCGAGCTTTCAGTGACTTAAATACCTCGAAACTGAACACAGAGCTTTATGTAACCACTCACAGTGGGCTTAGTGATGCGCGAGAGCGAGTTACTCGTGCATGGACTTCTCTTGTAGGCTAAGTGGCTTACAGGATGAATGCATGGTCAGGGGACGATTGTGACACCATGGGACCAACGGTCACTCGTAAGTTCCAAGTGTTGCGGGTTTTTTTCTATTGTAGTTTTTTGTCATAATTTTTTTTTTAAATTAATTATTACGTGAGTAATATATTTTTTAAATATAGATAATATAGTTTGTTTTAATGAAAATATCAAGTTAGGTACATCTAAAATTTATTATCCTTGTCCTCTTTTGAATGTATGGACTTTAAAATTTCTCGAGTGGTTTTTTATTATTATGGATGTTATTTTTAGGCGCTCGTCATTAATAAGAGGTTTCTTTTTATTTCTATTCAGTTCTTGTTTCTGAAACAGATATTGCAAATAGTTTAAAGGTATGTAAATAAACAATGAGAACAGCGTGTTATCATACCACTGTCTAGTAGACATCAGCAAAATGTTCTCCAACAAATGGAAATAATCCTGAAATTGAGTCAATCAGTTAATTTTATATATACGCCTTATTTATTTTTTATATGATTTAAGCATGTCATATGTGTGTATAGTTTTAGCATTTGCAAGTAAAGTCTTAGTCTATATACAAGCCTAGATAAGGCGCATCTATAAAAGTAACAACATTTATATTTTATAATTTCAATTTTTTTTCTTGTGTCATAAATTTTGACTTGATTATTTTGATTTTGATTAATATTACTCTTTGTACTGATAGTTGTTACTACTGAATTACTATTTTGTATTTACATTTGGCACTTGAAAAAATATTACTAACAGGCGACTCAACCTTTGCTCCGCTCGAGTTTTTAACAGTTAGTATAGATTTCTCAGAGATGAGATATTTTCCCGCAATCCTATGTAAAAGTATCCTATATGTTGACTTCGATAACCAGCTATCATCATACCAAATTTCATCAAAATCTGTCCAGTGGTTTTTCGTAATGCGTTCCCAAACAGACAGACAAAAATTCTGTTTCGATAATAATGTCTATTTCAATAGGATTTCCCAAAAAATATTTAGTGTACAGATTTGACTCAGAATTGTATAAATGTCAATTTAGATATTTATGTCTGTATTTTTTGTTTTTTAAATTGAGTGGTATTTCGGCAATATTTACTGTATATACATTAAACATATCATCAAAATAATATTAAGGTCGATAAAACAGACAGTAACAAGATTCTTGTTGTCTACTACATACTATATTATGTAGGTATATAAAGTATATTTAGAAAGAATATAAGCAAAACTTTTTATGTACATATATAGTAATAGCGTCTATTTTATATTTGTTTTAATAAAAACTATTAAATTTCCAACTTACCTTAAAAGTTTCACTAAAGCTAAATTCAATAAGCTTAACTGATTTCTAGGATCGATTCTAACATTATCTAGGGTCAGTGAACCCTCGCAGCAATTACTAAGGTAACGATTAGGATCAAAGCCTCGTTTATAAAGCCTGAATGTACCTCAACGTGTGACTGTTTAATCTATATTCCCATAAAACTAATGACTAACTCAAATTAGTTATTAAGCACTAGCGACTCACATTCGCATCGCTCGGGTTCATCCCTGGGTTTTAACGGTTAATATAGAATAGACTATATAATGTAGATAGATAGGTATAGAAAAATACGTAAGTACTTTAACACCTCCAGGTAAATTTCTAAGAAATTAATTAAATTTCTAAGAAATCTATTTAGTCTTGGAGGGATTAAAAATTAAAAAATTATATCCCATACTTGAGAAATGATTGAACATTCCCCATACAAACTTCCAACCCCATTTTCAACCCCTTAAGGAATGATTTCCGGGATAAAAACTATCCTATATCCTTCCTAGGGTCTCAAACTATCTTCATACCAAATTGTATCTAAATCAAAAAGGTAACAGACACAGTTACTTTCACATTTATAATATTAGAATGAATTTACTTTACACAAGTCTTGATCACACTAATATTTTAAATATAAATAAGAAAGTTTATATTCAGAGACAAAATATTATAAAACTGTTGTTCTTAAGCCAAACATTGCATATCTGATAAACATATTTAAATAATAACGTGAACTTAAATATAATTTAGAAATAAAAAAGTTTATAATTATATACATACTTCGTGGTAAAATACGTATGTAGTAGCAGTCGTGAGTTCGATTTCTGTACGATACAACCAACGTACCAAAAAGGTGCATCAATAATAATAGTTGCCACTCTGTTTAAATCTTCGTTAATCGAAAAGTCAACATAATTAGTATGTACAGTAGAACAAGGCGATCGCACATTGCCTATACCTTCTTTAAATTTACACCACAAGTTATTTGTTTAAAGGAGCAGCGAGTGCCACCTCTACAATGACGCATCTAAAGAACGGAAATGAGTTACGTGAATCTGGATATTTAATTGACGTTGGCTCCAGAACAGCCAGGTACCATAAACTAGTATATATTTCAAAGCAATATAAGTCTTTGAAACCAATATTGAATATTTTTCTCAGTGAGAAAATTTCAGAAAACAATTTAAAATAATTTATGTTTCAGGTTCAGAAGAAGGCATAAAAATAAAATATCAATTCTAATTTTACTTATAATTCTATTATTTTTATTAATTTTAGCGATCACAATGATAGCATTATGTAAGTGATTGTTTGCTATTTTATTTTGAGTTATATAAACCCTAGTTAGTTTGCATGCTTGCATTGCTTAGAACTTATAAGCTATCCCAAATATGAAAAAATAGAAAAACTATGTCAATGGGTGACATTATTTTTCTCAAACACATTGCGAATATATGATTTATAATGATTTAGAAAAAGAGATATAGAATCTTTATAAATTTTTCAGACGTAAAACAGAAACATCACAAGCCTATAGCAAGATGCGAAAGTAAGGAATGTCTCAGGTCAGCAGCAAACCTCGCGCTGTCTATGGACACCACAGCTGATCCTTGCGATGATTTTTATCAGGTGCTGTCATTTGTAAAATGCATCCGTAGCAACATATTAGAATTAATGTGTAAAAATTTCAGATTTCTACATTAATCTGCTATTATAACACGTGATTCGGGTTTTAGCACGTAACATATTGGCATTTTATTTGTACTTGTTATTTCACAATGAATCAATAATATGCTCATATTTTTTTTAGCTTTTATACTTACTTTGTTTTTATTTATTTTAGTTTATCTTATTTAAAACTTAAACACAAAATAACTAAATTAAATTGTATAGTTTTCTATATTTTGTATATATGTATTTAAAACATTTTTATTTAGAATATAGTAAATAAAAAAACTATTCTTAGTATGTTTGCGGTAATTGGGCGAAAGAGCATCCCCGACCTGATGCGTTCCACTCGTACGACTGGTTTAGAGATAAGCAGACTAAGGTGTACGCGACAGTGCGTGACTTTCTTAACCAAAACACAACCAATGCTCCTCGACCGGTGAAACAGGCCAAAGACCTATACGCTGCTTGTATGGATATAGGTAAATGCGTAATGATACTTTTCGTCTTCTTCTGCCTCCTTCTATAACACTACTAACATTAAAAGCTTTCTATAACGTCGATTTTGTTAACGTCATAGGGCTTCATACAGTGTATTATAGATTGTTTTCTTTTCAGAGACGTTGGACAAAAGAGGCCTCAAACCAGTTTTAGCAGTGTTGGAATCGCTGGGCTTGCCTCCCTATCCGACGATTATTAATGCCACTACAGGTGTAGATTATTCTATGTATACATTTGATTGGCTAGAGACTGTTATAAAAATCAAGACACAATTGGGTATGGACGTATTAATTGGCTTTGATATATTTACTGATCCTAGGAATTCCTCAGTATATAGACTTGTAATGGGATCTCCTGAAACCACTAATCCATTCCCAAGGTATACATATTTAAATTATTGATTAAATTTAATGAAAATGTATAGCTATTAACATAACGTGTTACATACTACAGTATGCGTAATGAGAAGAAGCGACACAGTGGGCAAAAGAATTTTATAAGAAACAAAATAGAGAAATATAAAAAAGATAATATTCACATATACGATAAGTATAGAGTCAACCACGATGCGGACGAAGACAAAGACAAAGAGGAAAAAATTGCTCATGTATACAAATTGTTCTATGCTGAACTCATGAAGTTTTTTGTAATTGAAGTACAAGCAAAAGATTTAAATTTAACCGAAGTAGAATTGGATCAGAATATTTTTCTCTCTTCTGATGAATATAACAAAATGAACGACGATATGTATGAGGTGCGCTATATTTCAAGTGATCTACTTAAAGATAAGATACCTGTACATAATGAAAAGCAAATTATGATTTTGAAAGAAGTTTTGGTACTGTATCTCTACGAAATATATAAAACAAATTTTCATTTCTTTTAGCTAGAAGCTGAAAATAATACCTCAAGCGACGACGATGAATACCTTAGTGTTCCTGAATATACTGTATATGAAATTCAAACACACACCGATATGATTGTTAAAGATAACAACGGAACCGTTTTCCCAATCTGGAAAAGATATTTGGAGGGTGTATTTAATATAAGCAATGTAACTTTAGATTACGATACCGACAAAATTTTAATTTCTGATCCTGATTTGGTATACATATCACTAATGGCGGCTTATATATCAAAAGCTTCACCGATACTAGTTGAACTCTATGTTTGGATAAAGGTGAGACTTACCGGCGATATGATAGCTTACTAACTTATGTTAAAGTTCATTAATAATCGAGTTATTTTTAGGTGGTTGAAGTAATGGCAGCTCACACAACAACAGAGTTACGAATACTACTCCAGAGATCTTACGAAGCCCTAGGAAAACCTGATTCGTACAAGTTACCGCGCAGCCAGCTTTGTGCAAGTGCAGTGAACGACATGCTTGGAATGGCTGTTTCGCATGCCATCGCTGATTCTCGCTTTTTGAATGTAACAAAACCGAAAGTAAGTATTATTTATCTAATTAGCATCTACAAATTAAATTGCTTTATTTATCTACAGAAATAATTAGTTAAATAATTATTGTTGTAAACAAAATTTCTAATTTTTAATATTTACATTTATTTAAGATCGAGATTATGCTTAATGATATAAAAAATGCACTCGCACATCTCGTGGGTCAGGCGAAGTGGATGGATGACGACACGAAATTAGCAACCTATGAAAAAATTATCAAAATGAAAACATTGGTAGGATTCCCTGATTGGTTGCTAGAGTCGGCAAAGTTAGAGGAATATTACAAAGGAATAGAGATTGATACAAAAACACATTTAGAAAACTTGATAAATATAATACAAGTGAAAATAAGGAATGCTCTAAACAGGTTTAGAGATGGTAATAATGGTACTTGGGCCACTGATCCTACAGAAGTCAATGCATATCATACATTTCAAGAAAATACCATAAGTAAGTATCATAGTTCATAAGTCACAGCAACAACAACCATCAAACTAAAAACGTACCTACTTATTAAAGTATTAGACATAGACATTTAAAAAAGTTGTCAGTCTATCGTGAACATCGTCGAAGAAGAAATGTAAAATAATATAGGAGAATATTATTATGTTATTAATCACTCTATAACAATAATCAATTCAACGATTGTATGATATAATATTGATGACATCTTATGAAATCTTTATTTAAATGCAAATTTATTAAAAAATCAAGAACTCGTAAGAAAAAATGTGTTTGAATCTATACAATATACATTTTCTAAATCTGAAAGTATATTTATGTAAAAAAGTATTTTTAGTATGTTCTAATCGCACTTTTGACTATATTGAACTCTGGACGCAGCTGTGCCTCTAGTGATGTTACAGCACCCTTTCTTCGACTTAGGACTTGAGTATGTACTTTGAAAATCTTTGTTTGAATGACATCTATAACTTTGGGATTTTTTTTCTATAAACATTAATTCTAAATTCGTTTTTGAACTTGCAGTTCCCTAAACTACGGTTCGCTCGGTACTGTGCTTGGACATGAAATAACTCATGGGTTCGATAATTTTGGTAATAATTTAAGTATTTTATCAACGAGTTTATAACCTACGTAATTTCATCCATTGCTCATCATTTATTCATCTAATAACAAAAAATTTGTAGGTCGCCTGTTTGATAAAAATGGCAATTTGTTACCATGGTGGACTAATGATACGATAGACTCATTCGTCAATATGACAAAATGCTTTGTCGATCAGTACTCGGCGTATTATATTCCGGAGTTAGGTGAACATGTACGTGTAAGCTTATAACAATTAAATAAATAGTTTATTCACCAATCAATGATACTTATGTCCTAATTTTACTAACATATATATTTCATTAACTGGAATATTTATTAGATATAGATAACTTTAAATTACTCAATTGATTCAGGTGGATGGGAAAAAAACTTTAGGAGAGAATATTGCCGACAACGGAGGCGTGCGCGAAGCCTTGGAAGCCTTGAGGAAACATCTTCGCAAGCATGGCCCTGAACCAAAATTACCCGGATTTGAATACATGTCTTCTGAGCAACTATTCTTCTTATCCTTTGGAAATGTATATATTTTTTTCTAAATGAATCCAATGGCGAATAGTGGTTTCACAATTGATTATATTCATCGTTATATTTAATTCATAGTCTTAAAAGGTCATTAAATACGCCAACATTTTTCGAATTTCAGCTTTGGTGTGGAGTATCAACTAAAGACAACTTAAAACTAGATCTAGAAGACGAGCATTCGCCACAACAGTTCAGAGCTCGCGGCGCACTTCAGAATAATAAAGATTTCGCCGATGTCTGGCATTGCCCCCCAGGATCAGTTATGAATCCTAGCAAAAAATGCATCATGTTTTAATTTTTTTTTTATTTTAGTATTTTTCCTAAAATAGGCATGTTTATTGAATTTTTTGCTTACGAGTAAAAATGTGAACAGTCATCTTTAAAGTTTTAAAATAAATATTGAAACTCACAAAGATTTACTGGGGTTTGTAATCATTAAAAAGTGGTTAATTCTTTAAACTCATTCATTTTATTATAAACAACGAAAAGACAATAAAATACTGTATTATATAAATTAAATAGTTTTATACATATTATATTACATATGTAGTTCCTATTTTGGTCTGATCAATAAAGCACCAGTTTAGTCATTTGCCATAATATACTATTTAAGTTTTTGACTAAAATATAGAAAAATAAATTTTCTTAATATTTATAGCGTCTTGCAGTATTCAAATAGTATTAATATAATATACAGTGTGCAATATAGAATTAAACCTCTTACTGTTTAAAAAAAGTTGTATATAACAATTTTGTGTGAATATTGTGTATATAGATCAATAAAAATATAAATTATTATGAAATAAAGGCTTAACTTTTTTATGATTTTATTTTCAAAAACAATGTTATCCATTATAAATGAACTTGTACATTTTGGGGACTCTTATATGAATAAGCTTAGTGGCTACTGATGATCTTCGAGTATCCGCCGGACAGACCGTGCCCTATTCCAGATGAAATTATACCGGATGAGTAGCCACCGCCGTAGGACGAAACGCCACCGTAGGAGGAAAGGCCACCGTAGGAAGAAAGGCCGCCGTATGATGAATAGCCTCCTCCAAGAGATACGCCACCGAGAGAGCTGCCAAGGCTGATACCGGCTGAGTGAACCGGCACGGCTGCAGCGGCCACTGCGACGGGCTTCTCAACAACTACAGGATGAGGCACGGCGACAGGTCTGTCGACTACAACGGGGTGAGGTACAGGCACAGGCCTATCTACATGCACAGGCACAGGTACGTTCACTTGACGCTCTACGTGCACTGGATAAGGTACTGGCACTTGGCGGTCAACATATACTGGACGGTCTACTGGAACTTGCTTTTCAACGGTGACAGGGTAAGGTACAGGTACCGATACTGGTACTTTAACTGGGTATGGCACCTTCCTTTCGTAATACACGGGTACTTGTCTGGTGACTTCGACAGGTACTTTGTGAATAACTGGTACAGGTCTGTCGACGGGCACTGGGACTGGCACCCTGACTGGTACAGGTATTTGACGGTCGACTGGAACTGGCACTGGGACTTGGACAGGAACCTGAACATCCCTGGTTATTGTTCTGGTTATAAATCTTGGGACTTCTTGGCGTAAAATGACTGGATTTGGTTGTACTGAGACAGAAGTTTGGACTTGAGCCGGAGCGACGGCGACTGCGGGGGCCGCGACTGCTACAGCGGGGCCAGCACTGACTCCTATGGCACCACCACCAATGCCTATGCCACCTCCTCCGATACCTATACCTGATCCCCCGACAGCGATTCCTGAACCAATCCCAATTCCTGAACCAATTCCAATTCCGGAACCGTATCCAATGCCTGAGCCTATACCGATTCCGTGAGAAAGGCCGATACCATTGGATAGGCCGATACCATGGGATAGGCCAGATGAGATGTATCCATGGCCGGAAGAGATGATGCCTCTCTTGGCCGGTTTGCCTGCGGGCTCGTCTTTAATTCCGTTCTCGAGGAGCTCAGACACTTTTGTTTTTTGATCAATCTCCTTTGCTGATAAACTACTTGCTACAAGCAGAATCTGAAAAAGAAATAGAATATGAATTAAAATAATATAAGTTATGAATTAAAATAATATAAGAATATGAATTAAAATAATAATAAAGAAAATTTTTATACAAATGATACTATTAATGATAAACAAACGATGTTTTCTGTGCTTCATGTACAAATAGAAGTGATGAGGTGTTTTGTTACATATTTTGATATACATTTATATTAGAATAGAATAAACAATTTCATATAATAGAGAACATGTTTGTGCCACTCCTCTTGAGTGAAAGTGAGTAAACTCTATTTCCAAATTAATAATAAAATCAATAATAATTATTACTATTGCACTACAACTATTAATTACGAAATCCTTTTACAATAATACCTTATTCCTATCAAAATTACAAAATAAAGCCATTAAGTGAAAAACGTGTAAAAGTAATGGTCAATAAAATACCGTTTTACATACTCTACATAATATGTATATGTAGATATAGACATTTTTCTATTGATCAAAAAAACTTTTCTAGTACACCAATGACGCAAGAGTGATAGTATCTAATAAGGGGTTTTTTACATGAAACACTAAATACTTACAAATATGTTAAAAACTGCTGTTAGATGTGATCGGTAGGATTTTATTTATTGCACTAGCAACTCATCCTCGCTTCGCTCGAGTTTGTCCCTAGGTACGTTTTAAAGATTAGTATAGACTTCTCAGAGATGAGATATTTATCCGCAGTAAAATGTATCTTAAATGTTGACCCGGTTAACCAGCTATTATCATACCAAATTTCATCAAAATCTGTCCAGTGGCTTACTCATGATACGTTCCCAGACAGACAAATTCTAAAAACTATAGATTCGGCCTCTGTATCGATAATAATGACTGTTTCAATAAGATTTTCCAAAAAATATTTAATGTACAGATTCGACTCAGAATTTTATTATACTCTTATGTATAGATTTTATCCAATGATATCTTGGCAGCGGTAATAGAAACGGTTCCGGGAAGATGTGCATGCTTATATTTTTTGAATACATACGACTATACTATTTAGATAAGTGGTAATGATGACTAATGAACTTATAGATATCCCACAAATCATCCCAAATGGAAATAGTATTATTTACTTATTTCTTAATCTTTCCTAAAGTTGCTTAACCGACTTTATTTTAATAAGATTACCATTATTAATAAAAAGGCAGTAGCTTAAAGTTAACGCGTTTTTTTAGGAAACCCAGTGAAGTAGGTTGAAATCCTGGATGAGGTGTGAGACCTCTGATATTTTTAATGAGACTACCACTCGCCTTATGGTGAAGGAAAACATCGTAAGGATATGCATCTGAGAGAACCTAACCAGTTTTCAAATAACATGTGAAGTCCACCAACCTACACTCGGCCAACGTGGTGGACTACGACCTGATCTCTTTCGTATAGAAGAGAGGTTCACGCCCAGCAGTGGGACATTAAAGAGGGACGAATGCTGATATTAATAGTAGCTAAGATACAATTTAAGATAAAAGATTCGATATTTATCATTATAAAATTATAAATAAAATGCTATGCTAGTAAGTAAAAAAGTAGTATGTATAACAACGCCCTTAGAGTGTAACTGCGCTATGCAGTGGTATAGATCAACGTCTACTTATGTGCTGGGTCAAGGCAAAGTCCGGTTGAACTGATATTACATTATTAGCATTCCTATCTTTTGCTTGTGGAAACTTAAACATATAACTGCGCACATTTATAATCCGAAGAAAACCTTTTGTACAACTACATTTAAACTGACAGTAAAGTTTTTTTTAACAGACTTTTAAAAACACGATTGAATATTCAGATCTAAATTGTCTAAACAATCATTTGTAACAAACGTATTTTTTTTCAAACAAGAATTGAAAATTATTTACAACTTAAATTTTAACATTTTAACAATTACATTATTAAAACTGTCGTAGTTTATTCACGCTTACAATACTATTAGATTGGAGTTCCTCAATAGTCTAGTGGCCTTCATATACGGCTGCAGAACCTGAGGTTCTGGATTCGACTCCCGAGTTAGGTTAGGCTTAGTTACTGAATTCTTCTTTCAAAAAGTGATCCGTAACAGGCCAGAGTTAGATGGTAGAGATACTGCGAGCACATAAGAAATCTACTCTGTGCCCGATCTCGACTCAGTCGTGTTGAATATTCGTCCCATCGGACTTTACCAATGAAAAAATAAAATTAGTTGTGCGCACACACTCACGTATATCTCTTACGTAGAACCAGTGTAGGTGAGATTTTATAAGGCTCGTCGAAATTTGTCAGGATTTTGATATCAAATTCAAATACCTCTATCAATTACCTAAATAATTTAAATTAATAAAATGATTCAAATGACAAATCCAATAAATATAATATTATTTGACTTAAATGCTATAAGCTTATAAGAATGTAAAGTATTGTGTGCAATATCAGATAATTATAAAATCGAGTCAAAATTAGATCAATTATACCTTAAATCTTTCTGCAATGCTATTATATGTTTTGCTAATCTGACTAGAATTAGACGTATGTCATAGTTGTCTCTGTCATTTTCCTCAGCATAAAGTCAAGAATTATTTTTTTACATAATACTTGTGAGTTTAAAAGGCAGCGATATTTCAAATCAACATCTAACAAGCCGAAACGGAAAAATGTCAACTAACTCAATTTATTTACAATGTTAAAGATAGTTTCAACATAAAATTCTTTAATTAAAAGCTTTAAAGTGCTAAAAGTAAGCGAGGCATAATTACGATAATTATCGAAATCATTTTGATTGCGTCGGTGTTACGTTAAGGGGCTTTTGCAACCTATTTTAGATGCCGAGCCCTGAAACACGGAAGGCAGACCGACTCACATGTTCTAGATCTGTCATGAATTGCCTGAGTTTTAGTCATAACTACATACTGTATGGATTACGCAAAGTATCTAGGGAAATGTTGTACGATAAAGCGATTTAATACTCGTAAATGTTTCAATTACTAGGACTGGGTAGTGGATATGCAAACCATGTGCAAGCAGAATTGAATCTAGTCGGCGATAAAATATTGGTTAGTTATATCTTAAACAACAAAATTCGTGTTAATTAAAAAAAAGCTACTATTGCGATACAAACATAGATTTTAAAAATGTTTAGGGACTCATGTGTTAAAGGATTGAAGTTTAGAATATTAATTTAATAACTTATTATTTTCTAGAAGAACCTTGAAAAATTTATGATCACCTTTGGATATTTGTATATCAATGAAATTTTTAATACTGTATAAAAAGTTAAAAAAGTACGAAATGTGTACTGCACCAACCCCAAGTAATTGGGAAATGGCCAGGGAGATGATGATAAACAGTTAAAAATAGTTCCGCTCAGTTTCTTTCGGCAGCTCGTCTCAGCATTAAGGTTATTTTCTCGAACTTCTAGAAACTTTTACAAATTTCTTATAATATGTCCAATGTATTTTCGAATTTGAATTTTAAACTTAAATAACTAATTAAGTAAACAAATACTTTTGTTGGTATTTTTTTTGTATATTTCTAACTAGCTAGCTTTAAGCCTTCTTTTTTAAAAAAAAGTTTATCCAGCTCATGACATGTTTTATTTTTCTAATAATACTAGTAGATCCAGCCATGCATTGTTCTGGCAAATGTGGCACACTTGTATATATTTTTTCTTTAGCTTGGGGATAGAATTTGTAGCTTAGGGTAGCCGTTTCTCAGGTTCTCTCTCCGGATATGTTAATCGTTAATAAAAATAGAAAATAATCCGGATAAAAACTATCCTGTCTTTTAAGTTTGAACAAATCACACATTTAAAATAAATACGTTAAGATCGAATAAGTTAGTTCGTAATAATTTTGGAGTTCATCGCGGACCAACATCGTGACACGAAAATTTTATATATAATTTTATATATGGGGGATATTTTGGCACCCACATTTAAAGTACTTTTTTACTATATAAGTAAAGAAGAAAAAAGAAAAATTTTAAGGCAGACTGCCGTCTGTAGCGCAGAGGATGTGACGCAACGAGCGCCCGCGAGAGCCCTGCGCCGTGCGTGGTCAGCGTTATCTCTTAATTTATAGCGACAAATTCTAACCGAGTTTCTAGAACTGATTAAAATACTTGTAATTAGTTTGATCGTTTCATAATATTTATTATTTGTCGTAGAACGTTAAGATGGCGAAGGAATCTATCAAATTGTATATATTTAATCAAAAGTCTTCTGAGGATTATCTTTTTAAAATAAAGATAGGTATTGTTTATATTTAAAAATTGAATCTTTTCTTATTATGACACCTGTATATAATCTCTGAAACTAAAAATTTGACATTCTCTTATACAAAATTATCTGTAAAATATATTTTTACGTACAGCAAAAACTTAGTACCCCTTTTTACGAAAATTGCGCGGACGGAGGAGTGTGAAATTTCCCACACTTATAGTTTATTTAGAGAAATAAATAATATATTATTTCAATAAACAAAATCATTACACACACTACGATGTATTTGACACACATACGCTTATATACTCTTTTGTTTTTTGTTAAAGTCTGTGGTCAAATTTGAAACCAAAAATTGAAAAAAGTCCCTAAGAAAATATAATTATACATTGTACATAATATTTAGCAGGAAAATTCCACATAAGAATTAGGTATTTTCTAAAAAAAATCTTGGAAATTCAACCACCTAAAGAGGTAATAACAAGATTGAAAATTTATTTGAAAATCCATTATTATTATTTTCAAAGTTTTACTGATGTTCTAATTCAAAGGCATCCTCTGGGGATGAAAAATAGGGGATGATATGTAATTAAATAGGGGATGATTTGAAATTGGAGAGACTCTTTATAAGGTGTAAAAATCGCTTAAGAAAGAAGTTTTTACATATTTTCTTACTTAATTCGCTTACATATTTCCTTGTTTATTGTTACATCGAAGTATATTCAGAACTGCGTGTTTAAAAATAGTAAAGACCCATATACAGTATATATACTCATAATTCTATATAACCAAACTATCCAGACTTGATGTATGTCAGTAGGAAGAGAGTTAACGCGTCACGAGCCATTGGAATTTTATTGCATTAGACTCGCGGATAGACTAAAATATAAATTCAATTTGCATACTAAATGCAATTATTTTTATGGCAAAATACTTTTTCTTTAGGTACACGATAAAAGTCGTACATTATAGATTTTTGATTAATTTGGAAATGAAATTGAAGGGATGTTTCCAGCATTTCTAGGATTTCTATCAATACAAATTGTAACTCGTTTTTTTTTATTCATTTATTTTCTATATAGTTTTATGTTGAAAGTACTGCAATCGATAATGTTAGAGCATAAAATGTTAATGTTCTTACTACGGTATGTTTACATACTTTCGGGACTTTGGAGCTTAATTTAGATGCCACTAATGTAAACCAAATATAACTATAAAATATTGCAGCGTCACTGCAGCTCCATAGAGTGAATAATTTAATACTTTCATTATTAAAACCGTGTTGGCTCACTTGGAACTCTTTTTAGAATTACCCTCTATCATAATTAAATTAGTAATATTGGCACAAGTTAGAACTTGTAGTCTGGAGTAGCGTTCGCGTCCTCTTTTAGTTTTTGTTAATTATGATTGTATCACCAATTAATAACAAATAAGCAATTATTAAATGGGCAGGTGTATTTTTCGAATGTGACGGGCGGCGCCGCGCTCGCCCTGGCCCACTTGCCTGAAGTCGTATTGAAAACCACTAGACATCAGATAAACAAAGCTCTCTGGTGGATTGTTGTTAGACATATCGATATTTTACTGATAAGTATTATCTAATTTGAACATTTACTTAATATATTTAATAAATAAGCTTTATATAGAAATATCGTACCATAAAAAAGTGAATCACCGCCATTTTGCGTAGAAAGCTCTTGTATCCCGTCTCACCAAATCACATTACTTTTAACCGATATAAGTATTTAGTCGACCGATCGACTTGATATGTTGTGTCAGTCTACTGCCCTGAGATCGCGAACTGCTTTATATACGAGAAGCATTGGTAGCTCAAACATATGCACCAAAACCACTTTTCAATCTCATCGTTGCAAGGTGGGCTGCCGAAAGAAGGCAAGCCAATGTGAACCGTATTCCTCACTGAATAGAGACGTCGGGTATCTTACGTATGCCATCAAGTCAATATACACAGATCTTAGTTAATTATACTTCAGTTAAGTTTTTCAAGCTGGACGTCGCTTCTATTTGTACGCTCTGATTTAAAATTGCCTTTTACAGCAACGGTTATGTCACGTCTTCTAATTGTGGAATGTCACCAATGTACGTCTTCTTTGAATCCTCAGCCGGAACCCTAAGTATGAGGTAGTGTGGAGATATCAACCTTTGCTCAATGTGATGTTGAAATAAATCTATTTTACGATTATTTTATTAAAACATAATAAAATAATGCTATTTTATATAAAACTATCTTTTCGGATTTTTTCGCGGATTATTTAGAGTTTTGAATGCTTTGCAGCAATCATGGTCACGGGAGAGACTGTCTCTCGGGAGAAAATGACAAATATTACACGTAAACTAAAGATCCAGAAGACATACACACACAGAGTGACAGTTATGTACCTATTGTTTGTCTCTAAACTCTTTCAAACATAGAGGTATTTACGCGATCGAACCCATTCAGGGTAAATTACCATATCTTAATGTCGTGGAACACACGGAGACAAGGTGGAAGAACCTCCACTCGTCGCCGTAGCCACAACGTTCGTAACATACTTGTTAACTTTATGTATAATGGTCTCACAATTTGATCATCCCTACACGAATTTTCATAGGTACATTACATAGATAATGATTATTTAAATTGTTTATAATCGTGATCAATTTCAGTAACACACTTCCATGATGTACATTTTTGTTAGCCGTTACAGATGACAGTACAATGAAATGTTTTCTTGATACAGATTTAATAATTACCGAAAAACCGATTAAATAACCACGTGCATTGTGCGAAGGACATCAATTGTTGCATTTGTTAATTATAATTGAAATTAAAAAAAACTAGACTTGTTTTAAATTGACCCTTTTATTAGTTTGTTGTAAATGATTACCTTAATTTCAACCGTTTACATATTTAGTAACAGCATGTCGTATATCTTTGCTATCCCCTTTCAGTTATACCTATTTATTTTATAATATAATATTTTTTATGTATATCATAACTTGGTATTAAACAAAAAATATAAAATTGCGATCTACAAATAAGTATGATAAATTTAAATTGGAATTTAATTGCTCGTACTTATATTGCAGTACATCCTGTAAAGTTACCGAAGATAAACATGGTAGTAGATGTTTTGCGAATTGGAATGTTTGTTGCTAGAGCTTAGTTTTTTGTTCTAGTGAAAGTTTAGAGCTTAAACGAACGTCTGGCGTAAAGCTGAGCACTTGTTACAGGAGTTACTTACACTATTCGCATTAGTCGAAAAGTAAAATAAATAAATAAAATAATGTATATGTCGGGACATTGACACACAGTACCATCTAGTTCCATGGTAAGGCTACGAGGCTTGTATTACCTACTACCAGACAGTTAATACACTACACATATATAGTTTTAAATACATACATATTATAAATATAAACACCCATGACAGGAGTACAGACATACTTGCTCATACCCAAATGAATGCCCAGCACACAAATGAATGCACAACAAGTAGGGTCACTACAAACTGAGCCAGACGTGTCGTCAAAAATCAGAATACCCTATTAGAATTCCGTTAAGATAAGATTATAAGGCTTATAATCTAATAGATCTCTCTGATAAATTAATTTAAAAGAATCAAGCGGGTAATCTCTTTGATCTATGTGCATGTATATGAAATTGTTGCATCTTCCCAGTACTTTATCTAAACCAGAATGTCGCGAATATCGTAGAGCCGTATGTTTTATTCGTCATACGAAGAGTGTAGTAGGTATTAAATTTTATTAAGTATGATTTAAGCCAGATACAAGCGAGGCAAGTCAGGTGCAGCGCCAGGCTTTGTTGTAGATAATTGAATTTATTTTACCCGTATGTGAAGAACTCCATTGTGACTTTGCAGATCGAAATCAATTTTGAGTTATACATGTCAATTTATGAATTGTCTCGACTTATCATATTGTTTTATTACAATACCAATTAATTTGATACTAGCAGGACCCGCGGCTTTACTCGCGCTAAAAATACAAAAACAAACTAAAAATTTAGGTTTCAAACAAATCTTCATCCCCTATTTACCCCCTTATGGGATGAATTTCGAAAAATGCTAAAACACGTATTTATTTCATTGTATTGAAGAGTATTAATACCAAGTTTTAAGTAACTCTTCCCATAAATATTATTTTGTTATATTATAACGTGTTTTCCCATGGGAAGGAATTAATCTCCCGGAATAAAAAGCCCTCCAACAATCTCCACACAAAAAATCACGACAATCCGTAACTCTGTTTTGACTTCAAAGAAGGATAAACAAACAAGCACACTTTCACATTTATAATATTAGACGGATTAACAGGTTATTCGGCGAAATAGACTATAATAAATAGTTTTTTGATCAATGTTAATATTATTTCCATACTGTATCGAACCTAAGCACTATACGGAATAAAAAAATATCAATAATATCCTACGGGTCCTTCGAAACCGTGAACTTACACAAAACAAAGCACAAACAAACATAACCAGTGATTTTGTTTTATAATACGATATTTATTTGTGAACGGGCGTTCTTTCCTTAATAAGCGCACGTTCTGCACACTTATGTAATGTTGACTTAAGATTAAAGTTTAGTCTAGAATAAGACATAACTATACAAAATCATAACCAATTTTTAAAAATCTCCATTTTTAAGAAAGACTAAAATACTTTGGATTACCACGATTAAAGCTTTTAGTCTAAGACCTAAAATTTGAGGATTGTGAAGTGCCGATACGCGGCGAGAGAAGTGGTCCTTACTCATTCAAACTTGGCCAGATATAATGATGATGATGATATAGAAAATATTTTTATTTTTGTATGAAAATGAAAATTTAAGAAATATTTTTTTCTTGTTACAGAGGTTGTTGTTATGATGTAATTAAAAATGACCCTGTATATATATATATATATATATATATATATATATATATTCAGTTTTGTATTTTTTCTCAGAAATGAGATATTTTCCCGCGGTAATGCTATAATATGTTGATCCGGATAACCAGCTACCACCATACCAAATTTCATCAAAATCCCTTCAGTGGTTTTTCTGTGACGTGGTAACAGACAGACAGACATACAGACAGACAGACAAAAATTCAAAAAACTATAGATTCGGCCTCTGTATCGATAATAATGTTTATTTCAATAATATTTTCCAAAAAATATTTAATGTACAGATACGGCTTAGTTACAATCTATACATACGAGTATAATAAAATTCTAAACTTTGGATTGAATCCTTTCAGTATCGATCGATATATCGATATTACCTTCTCCTCCCTAGGAGATAATAATATCGATAGCACCTTCAACATCACTACAGTCTAAAATATGCCCCTGCCCCCGACCCGTATGGTGCGATAGAGAGAGTTGCAAGTCTTAGACTCAATTACCTACATTTCCTTTTTGAATTATTGTTTCGGGCGATAACGTTTTCACCCCCCTAAACATTAACGAAATGTGACGATTTTGGTCTCATTAGATTCAGTACACCTTAATCTAGGTCTGTACGTTTTCCTTTTTTTGTAATTCAGTTTAGTTTAATTTAAACAAATAAAAACGCTGGAGGAAGTTTTTAGGTCAAAAATATAGATATTTAGATGCTAATAACTTCTGTCGTACGCAATATTTCAAAAAAATAAAAACGTACGGACCTAGATTTTGATTATATCTACAACATTTCCAAAAATTATGAAAATTAGACTATGTTTAAGGGGGGAAAAACGTTATCGCTTTTTGTATGAAAATTTACAGGTTCACAATCCTCTTAAGAACATTGTTTTGATTTTTAGCCAGCATTTACCATGTCATCGTACAAAAACAGTTTTTTTGACAAAACACCGTCTAGGCTCTGCCATTTTGTATAAATCAACAGATCGACTTTGTTTTATACTATGAATAGATTATTCCTTAAGCCGCACTAAGAATTACGACAAAAGCATACGGATTTGCAATCCTATTATAATTTAAATAGCAATATGTGCGAAAAATAATTTTAACTAATCAATATGCTGGTAAAAACAGACCTACATTGGAAATGGAGGAAGGAGCTCGTAACTCTACCCGACATGCAGTAAACACAACATTACAAGGTTCCAGTCAATTAATGCGTTAACAACTTGTAACGAACTCAGCAAGCCTGAAATCACTCCGTCAGTTAAGTTAGTTTTTATCGCAACGTGCTAGCCTATTTATTTATTACTTTTAATAAGACATTAGTTCAAGTACCAATAAGATATAAAGTAGAACATATTTTACTAAACATAACATAAACGTCCTTCATTAATTGAATGATAAAGAATCGAGCGTCCAACACACAGATATATTTTATACTATTTCGAGATTTATATAAACTGTGTATATTTGCAAATCTCATCTGGTCAGGGGCAAGTGGATGTCTTCGAGCTCCATCTGTAACATCCACCAATGATCCAAATTCTTTATAGAACCGAGTTTCCATTGCCGATTATTTCGGTCAAGCAAAGGCTAATTTGCTTCTTTTGGTCATTATTCCTAACTGAGAGCTCATTGCACTAATATATGCGTCGGCTTGAAGCCAGTTTAACTTTTATGCCGTCCATACATAGTATTTCAAATTTCACGATCCTAACACATAATCGGACTTGTTCTGCTGCTGAGAATGAAAATCTGGTAATAGACATTTATGTGATTTTTTTTTTTATTTTACGCGACATAACATTTAATAAAATAATACGATATTGATGAAAAAAACTGGAGTAACAGATTTCAAATTGTCCATCTGTATGTATGTCTTTATTACAATAAATATTGTAGTAAAAATAATTTTACGTGTTCTTCTGTCACACATTTTGCAACTACTGTGTTATCTATTGGTACAGCACTGAAGTATTTTAGTTTGTGCTTTATGTGCCACCTTCAATCGATTCTAAACTTTTTATGCTCTAACTTGCATGCTTATTCCTAATAGAGAAATCGTATGAATATAAAAGTGGTTAAAGTTGATAAACTCCACTCGAGGCAATCTTGTGTGGTGCTAGCCTCATTGAGATCATCGGGAAAGCACCGCGTGCCTGCCGTGTGCCGTTCACAGTGCCTGTGCTTCATTAAGTGTGTATGTATATACTATCATGTAGCTCATTTTATAACAATATTTTTTTATATTCCTTAGCACCGTCAACTGTTATGATTTCTACTATCCTCAATTAATTTAAAGTTTTCTTTTGATTTTCGCGAAAGCATTTAGTCTCCGATACTACATTTATTACCAAATTCTCACTAATGGCTTAAATATTTTTTCCTAGTTAATATAATAAACTAGTATAAAATAAGATAAAGCTTAACGGAACCTGGTACCTTCCATCTCTATCTTGTGAGGTATTACCACCTATTTGACTGACATGCTATAACTCAGTTGATGTCGCAGCCAGGTTGTTGTTAAATATATTTATCCACCGTAGATTTCGTAGCATAATTTGTAGGTCACGTCGATGATTTTAATTTTTCCATAAACGGCCGGCATTCCTACATCAGATAACTAGACTGCACTTCATTAATTGCTAAGCAAAAAAACTTGTTAGAAGAACTAGATAAAAACAAAAATGTTTAACATGCTATAATCATTGAAATTTTAAAGTTGTAATATTCTGTTAATAGCTCCACTTTATATTTAGAAATATAAAACTATAAGTCCACATGGGACTTCATAAATGTGTTTTAATTTAAAATACTCTTAAAGCTGCCTGTTTCATTTTATCGAAATATGACTTTGTGAATAAATGAAATAACATGTTAAGAAGTAATATATTTATTATCTTACATCTAGAATAAATACTTAACCTAGAGGAATGCCAATCCACTAATGAAACGATTAAATTAATGTTTTAATGATCAATACGGATAACGTGGTTTGGTATTTTAATAATAAAATTATGATATGTATGATGATAATGTAATTGGTAATTTGATGAGATATGGTATTTGATTATAAAGATCACACATATCTCAAGAGGAAAATATGAGTACAAATTCTTTGGACCATGATGAAAAATGTATGGAACTCGAGCCCATAACTGTCAGTGACCGCTACCCTAACATTGCAATATACATATGAATGATAAGAATGATGATAATATGTGTTTCGTAAATAATGAAAATGAATGAAGGATGAAAGAATAATGATTGGCAGTGAGCGGACACCAAAACTTGACTTGAAAACTAACTCAAACAAACAACAAATTCACTTAATATTTTTATAACAGCCTTATAGTAGAATAAATAACTACATATATATCAAAGTTTATTCCCCGAATACGTCCTGAAACGTGTCGTCAGTCTCATTTTCATCGCTAGTTTCAGTCGTATTTATTTTCACAGTAATAGCTTCTATATCTTCATTTTCAACTTTGTCACCAAGATCTTCAATTGCTTCGACAGCTTCTGTAGAATTAGTGGCAGTGGTGGTAGGTGTGGTGGTGGTGTCGGGCAGGTTTTCGCAGCGCTTGCCGCTGATGCCGGGCGGGCACTGGCACCTGAAGGAACCGTCTCTAGATTCTAGAGATTGACATTTTCCTCCATTCTTGCAAGTCTCTGGGTTCTTCTCGCAATAATTTAGTTCTGAAATAATAAATTATATAATAAATTATTTTTTTATATCATAAAACGATATAATATTATTATTCTAATTTAAAACTATATGATATTCTTAATTTATAACAACGCTAATTTGATAAGCTTCAATAAAATAGTGTGTAAAATGAAAACATAATATATTATCACAGAAATATGTATTATAGATGCGGAAATTGGGGTATTGTTATATGATTGATATGCCTAACACTAGCAAAACCGAAGGCAAAATTTAGTATTATCGAAGTAAAAGTAAATTACTGAACAATAATCAGTTCCTAATTTTCATATAGATATAAAATAAAAAAAAACAAAAATCATTTATTGTAGTAGAATCAGGGCGATTACTTATCAATGTCAATAACTTATAACTAATTTTGTACATGTTATAATAAGCTAAATAATAAATACATTAAATTATCCTATACCTTTAAACGAGCAATTCTTGTATAAATATATATATTTTCACGAAATATCAATTTTCATGAAATTTAATATACAGGGGGTTTCGGGGCGATAAATCGATCTAGATTACTTTTATGTCTGGAAAAACGCGTGTTTTCGAGTTTTCATGCGGTTTTTTTCGCATTATGCCACGCAAAATATGGTTGCTGATTCGCACGCTAGGACATAAGCATCGTGGTCAAGCGGCCAAGGCGCAAGTTTGACAACCACAGGTGTCTGGGTTCGTATCCCGGTCGGATACGAAGTTTTTACTTTTGTTTTTTTTAATACTTATTCAAGTTTTTAGTTTATTAAAAAAAACAATATATGTATATATGTACTTTAGGCCGAAAACTCTGAGCGAAGCTCGGTAGCTCAGGTACTTAATAATTACATCTTTACCCCACCCATAACGGAATTAATTGCGGAAAAGAAATACCCACCTTCATCACACAGCATGCCGCCCCAGCCGTCCTTGCAGATGCACTCCCAGGGGCGGTTGCAGGTGCCGTGCAGACAGCCGGGGTAGCGGTGGCACTCCTTGCACGTGGCGCCGGTCCAGCCCACCTTGCAGCGGCACTCGCCCGGCCGCCGGCAGTAGCCGCGCTCGCCGTGACACCCAGGGGAGCAAATTGCTGAAATTCATTTGGAAATTAATGAATTCCATAGGCATTGACATTTTTAGGTTCGAGTACCGGGGGTCAAGTAACATTATTGAGATTATCTGTCAAGAAAATTTACGTAACAGCCCGGCATTAGAAAGCTGACGGTGTTTTCCTGCGCCTCATCTTTTACCGATTGTATTGAAATGTTATCCCACTGTAGTTTGAGATTGGGAGTGAAAGGAATATATAGTGCTCTTGTGTCTATCTGTCTAAAATTGGTGAGAAGGATACTATTAATATAAAACTTACGAGTTTGACACAACAATCCAGTAAATCCTGGCAAGCACTTGCACTCCAGAGGCTTATCGCAGTAGCCGTGCTGGCAGCCGGGCAGCGGCTGGCAGGCGCGGCACGTGGGCCCCGACCAGCCCAGCTTACAGCGGCACTCGCCCGGAGACTCGCAGAAACCGCGCGTCGCGTGACAGTCCGAGCGACAGATCGCTGGAAAATAACTCACTGTGAGAAAATACTGATTTGATAGCAATTATTGTGGCTTATCTTTACTCCGCTCTTCTGTACCCTTAGAAGAAGCTATTAATTCGGACTTAATTTACAAAATTTTATCATACCTGTAGATTATTTTTTGCCAAATGTTTGTTAATTAATATATAATTCCTCTTTCGAAACCTTTCTAGATAATCCCTCTCTCCATTGGTAAAAACCATATGAAAATCCGTACAATAGTTGAAGAGATTAGCCCGAACAAACACAAAGCCACAAAGATAATATTAATAACAGTAATGTCTATTATAAACATATTTCTTTTGTAATTACAGCAAATATTATTTGCTAGAATAATTTGCTTTTTTGATCTTGTGTCTAGGATGTACGGCTGCAGACCATGAGGTTGTGGATTGTGTCCAGTGGTTTGATTGGTTTTATGTCAAAAGAAATCTAAATAAGACGTCATATTTAGTTATATAACAAAATACCAAAGGAATATTTATATTTACATACATTTTTAAATTTTAAATTAATGTATTAACGTTTGACGATTTTTACTTTAATATATAACAATAAATATAATAATAATAAACTTACGTTCAGAACAGAAGATACCGTCCCACCCGTCTCTACAGATGCACTCGAAGGAGACATTGCAGTAGCCGTGCTGGCAGCCCGGCAGCGCGATGCACTTGTTGCAACGCTCGCCGTAGAAGCCCAACTTACATCTGCACTCTCCTGGCCTCTTACAATAGCCTGTAATAATATAAACATCTAAATATGCGAGACATAACTGAAAAAGTTTTAAGTATTAATGATATTATATGTAAATACGAAAGTGTGCTTAATTTTTGTCCTTCTTTCACGCAGCAACAAATCAATAGATTATTTTAACGAGCTTGATTTTATACAAATACATCAAAGGCCAGCGGTAACCGAGAAAAGCGGGTTCAAATTCCGGTGCTCCACCTCTGATATTTTTATGTGTGAATCATTTCCAACATGATTACCACTTGTCTTATGGTAAAGGCAAACATCGTGAGGAAACCTGCATGTCTGAGAGAATCTAGCAAGTTTTCGAATGATACGTAAAGTCTGCTATCCTGCACTTTGCCAACGTGATGGACTATAGCCTTTCGTATTGAAGGAAGGTCCACCCCCAGCTGTAGGATGTACAAAGGGCTGAACGCAATATCAATCAGGTGGCCGTTGTAGTGAATCGATCTGTATCGCCTGCCTGCCTGCGTAACCCTGCCCGTTTAAATAAATAAAATAGTTATATGATAACCTTGCATCGGATCACATCCTCTCTTGCAGATGGGCACGTCGCACAGGTCGCCCTGCCAGCCGGGCAGGCACTTGGGCTCCCCCTTGTCGTCGCACACGTAGTGGCTGTGCTCGCTCTGCACGGCCGGCAGCTCGCACGCCTGGACACTTTTCTGATATAGAGCCGGCTAGGAAGAACATGTACATGCTTTGTGAACGTGCGGTAACATATAACATGCAAGTAGACTATCTAGTAAATATTAGGGTGTGAAGTAGAGATAGGAGATAGAGTTAGAACTACAAAAATAGATACAAAGATGGTGTTTAGTTGACTTAAAAGGTTGGATTTCATAACAGTGCTTCCTAGTTTGTGTGTTGTGACTGGATCACGCTATTATAATCCGAAAATTAGAAACATTCATGAGCTTTCTTTAAAAAAAATTATAATATTAGTTATTATATTATATTCGGTGATAAACTATTTTTTATCGCATAGACTACGTTTTATGTATTACTGCAAGGTCATACTCTTCTATGTCCTAAATTTCATCCACAACCGTCCAGCCGTTCTAGAACGACGGAGCAAGATATAAAAGTAGTCCAATTAATATTCCGATTATAATTAACATACGAATTTGTTATCAGCTTAATTCATGTGTTTGTGATTTCTATTTAGCTGCATAGATTGAGCTACTTTGCTTATTTGTACGGCGTTAAAGCTCTTAAGAAAATTTCCTCTGAAACAACAGGACCATAGGATTTTTATGGTTGTATTACACGAGTGGCTACTCCACTAGCAACGAGCAAAACTAGTATAATATGTCATCATTCATTTATCAAATCAAAAGCGGCATGAAAAAGGTATTTTAATCGGTCACAAACATGTTTATGAATCATCGAATCACTTTATATCAAAAATGTACACGTAGAGCTTTTGCATATCTATTAAGGTTTTTGAAGTCACCGAAACTTATAGATAACAATATTATTCCATCATTTTATATATGTACAGTGAAAATGATATTTAACTATGTAATGATAGTAAAATCTTATTCTTGTAAAAATTCATAAATAAAAAAATTGCTAAATAAAAACTATGTCATAAAAATAGTTCTACATCTCAAGAGTCAAGAGTTAAAGTAGAAAGAATTTAAAGACTGAGTAAAAGTTCTATTTTGGTACGACAGAGGTCATTAACAAAAGTATGAAAAGAAAAAAGTCATTGTTCGAATCGATGATTAATGCTGAGATGTTCCTTCCCTGCCAGGATGCGAGCGACGCCGGTGAGTCAAAGGAACTTTCTAATAACGTGAAAGCAGCGTGAAAGTGTGCCGCGAGAAACCGCGCTCAAAATAAATGTTTACACACTCGGCTATAAAATTAATATACCACTTAGCCACTTAGTGTCGTGACAAATCTTTACTCTATATATTTGTTTTTCTATGGATCTGCCGTCAGAAGACACGCGAGACAATGGAACACATCTAGCTCTACATGGCAAATTTCTTTTATTTTCAAAAAAAAAAGTTTTACTAATTTTTTTTTCTAAAGTGAATGCACGTGTCGTGAATTCTATATAAACCTATTTAGTCGCGGTCAAAAAAAAATTCTTTTTGATTTTTTTTTTATCATGAGGAATTAAAAATATTATTATTTTAAGACAACGCAAAAATAAAAATGTATTTATCTGCGTTGTTTACTTTTAAGCTCATACTTGAAATAACAATTCTATTATTTTCTATATAATTCTATTCATGCAAATTATAGTGGATATAAATTCCATATCCACAGTAAAAAAAACCGTATATCTTGAATGTTTTACTATCATTTTCCCTTAATAAGCACATATTATGTAGCTATGTCAACATTGACGCTGTTACTGCGCCCTAACTAGCGGTCTGACCCTCTCTATATTCAATTCTTTTAAAAGCTAGCTAAAATAGATATACCTACTTATCTGCTATTACATTATATTTGAATGTATTATTATAGACAATAATTAATCTCAAGAGACAGCGCCTACCATAGAAGTAGATCAGAGTTCGATTCCTGCAATCCTTAGCAGGCATCGAAATCTGATTATCGGCTCGGACCGGCTACGCCTCGTTCGCGTAAATAGTTTTATTAGAACGTTTAAGTACATACCGATGCAAGACTCATGAATCTTAGAATATTTGACATGCCACTACTTAATTAAAATAAATTGTAAATAATTCAAAAAGGTTGATGTATTTATAATATTGCCAGCAGTAGATATAACGTACATGTAGTATGTATGTTTTGACGGTGGTATGTTCGTGAGCTATACACATAAAACACTCCGTCGTATGACCAATACAATGTTAACCTTAGCAGAAATTGACATGGTCACAAGAGGTAGACACTGACTATAACACTATACCTTAAAAATAACTATTTTTAATTTTAACTTTAAGCTAATTTTATCATTTATCGATTCCCGTGTGAATACGAGCTATTTAAATTACGAAACTCAAAAAAACGAAAACGATACCCTTTAAATAACTAGCCTAATACTATATCCTTTATAGCTCTTAAAATTATACAGAAAATACGAAAATATAATAATATCATGTTGTTTAGGCATATTATTGATATTTTAATGAAACCGCACTTTATATATTAGGTATATATTATTTAAAAAAATATTATAACCTATTTAAAATTAGGAAAGCTATCGCGTAACGCAGATGCCTACATAGAAAATAATATATATAAATGGCACGTAAGCTAAGCGTAACCACAGCCAGTAGGTGTTGAGGATATCGACCATATACGATAAATGCTAATGAAATTCTAATTTTATTTACCAAAAAAATGTTTCCGTAGAGTTACGACGAAGCCTAAAGCCTAAGGAGAATTTATTAACATAAGTCTTGCAAAACTTTAGCAAAAGATAGACAGAAATAGTCCATAAATTTAAATGGTGGCTAGTACGGTATATACATAATATATTTATAAGACTTGGAGTGAAGATAAAAGTATCTACTTATCGATATCGACCCACCAAACTACAGAAACCAGAGTGTGGCGGGTGAACTTATTTATGAATATCTATACTTATTATAAAAATAAGTCCCCCGGCCGCGTCTTTCTGTCCTCCTGTCTGTCTGTACGCGATAAACTCGAAAACTACTGAACGGATTTTTATACGGTTTTCAACAATAGAAAGAGTAATTCTTGAGGAAGGTTTAGGTATATAATTTATTATGCTTTTATGTAAATTAGCTGAAATACGGCGACAAATGTTGAAGAGGTCGCAAAAAATCTCGCCAAATGGGAACTTTCCACGCGAACGCCGCGTAAACTAGCAAAGATACAGTTAAGTAATGTACTAGAGAATTCAAAATCTATAAAAATGCTACAAAAAAGTCCGCGATAGCATATCTCTATCTCTTACGGTTGACTTACAATAACCACTTTTATGTTAACATTTTTAATTAAAAACATTACGTTATTTTCAAAGTTATTTTCTTTAGTTCGGTATTAATCCTTATCCAAATGAATATTTTAGTTAGCTTAGTCATTTAATGCAGATTAAAATTGCTCTTTACACTAAATCAATCAGATGAATAGTTTTTGAGATATCGTTGTTAGAAGTAATTAGTAGCGAAACATTTTTAATGCTTGGCGAGCATTGAGATGCCTACGGCGAGTCCATCCCCTCTGCCCCGCATCGCTCGACCGCCTGCTCAAGCTATATAAACCGGGCGATGTAGCGCGCGATCCTAGGATACTTTTTACCGCGGGAAAATATCTTATTTCTGAGGAAAAATACAAAAACTGCAATGTAAGAGTATACTAATATGTAACACCTAAGAATTTAGTTTTTGGTCATCTGAACGCGGGCGGAGCCGCGGGCAATGCTAGTAACATTATATAATCCTTAGCTCTAAGAGTGATATGAAGAGTAAAAAAATATCATATTTATATCAAATACAGTCCAGTTTTAATACATTTAAATTAATTTAGTAAAATATTTAAAATTTGAAAGGAGAAAAAGGTCCTACAAGGATGTGTGAGTATCTCGTTTTAACGTCGCTAATATGTAAAAACTACATATTATAATAATTATAATTTTGCAACTAAAGGCTTGGTTGAAATAATAAAGAGAGAAAGTTAAACAAAAAATGTTAGCATATTGGAGGAAATAATGTTAGTCTAATTAATATTATTATTGACAAATTTAATTTTTAAATAAATAACTCACCTGCTTCTTCCATTTGGGTAAGATATATTTAGCCGGCAGCACTTCCATCACACAGGACACAACCAAAATTATAACAAGGTTCCTCATATCGGGAAAAATATATAAAAATCCTTACAAACCAATCAAACCATTCTAATAAAAAAATTGGTAATTTAATGAAACAATACAGTTAGTTCTCGAGATTAGCGTAGGATTAACTGCGAGTGGAAGATGCGCCGGAGTACGAGGCGCGGCGAGCGGACGCTGTCGCTATACTGTTAGGCGTGTTATTGAACTTGACTCGAGAGGCTACTTTCGCCGGCTCGGGCTAGGAGACTTTCTGTTTACATTTCTCCTATCTTTTTCCTTAAAGATTCTTAAAATTATGTATAATAAAATAAACCCGTCTGATTCAAAATTACGTTATTTACGTCACAAGAAAAATTGGCTATAGCAATAACTTTCTTTATTTGTATCAAACGTACTATTAGCTAAAGCATTCTCAAGAATCAAAGATTTTTGGTTTTCAAGTAACTTCTACAATCAATAGGACAAAATATATTATATAGAATCACCACAATTATGAAACTGATAGTAAACCTTATAGATACCGCAATCATTAATATAATCTAACCAATGAAAAACTTAACGGAGAAACACCGAAAAATATTTTTTCGGAAAGCTTTTCCCATTTTGAAGCTACTAAGAATTACCCATTCGTACGAGTACGACAGACGCTGTCGTGTTCTTTTAATATAGTTTTTGATCTCTCATTTTACTTTCGATCAACAATATATGTACCTACTGTAGATCGAAGGTGTTCATGCAAGTTCTATAGAAAAAGAACTTTACCTTTTTCTCAAATTTGCCAATTTTCCGGTGAACTCTTTGATATTTTTTGCATAAAACCATTAGCTAAATCAATGTAGCCGTTCACAATCGTAGCGTGCTTACCAAGGAACAACTTTTGACTTTTTATGTAAACTGCTACAATATTATGTGTATACATTAAAACTATATAATTACACTGTGCATGAACATAAATAAAACGCTTTTCTAATGGCCGGTGTGAACTTCAGAGCAGAGCAACACCGCGACGGGGTCTCGGTACAGATTTCAAAACTAGGTGATTAAAAAGAGATAAAACGGGTTATTAGTGCTTACTAAGTCTTCTGCGCGGTGTCCGTGACTACTGACTGCACTCACAGGCTTAACTGTAAAATGATAATACGGGCAATATATGGAAAATTTCTAATAACTTATTTGCATTTCATTATAATAAATTATAGTTAGTAATAAAAATACTTTGTCTTCATGTTGAAGTCATATATTATATATTAATTTGAAGATCATATTGGTGCAATGGCCACCAAACTGACTTACATGCGATGCGAGTTGCGGGTTCGATTTCCACTCATGCCAATATTCACGCCGTTATTTTATCTATCTATTGACATACTTAATATCCTTTGAAGAAATTGTGTTTAGATGATTGAGAATAATAAAACTAAGGGTTTTTATTTATTGCACATAATTAGATTAACTTACATTTAGGTTTAGGTTATTTTTAATCGGTTGATCAGATCTAAAGATATAGTAAAGTTTACTATGCAAACATGCGTTGACCTTGTCGTGGTGAGGGGGAGGGGGGGTTCCTTAGCGTCTGGGAATATAGCCGGGCGCGAAGCCAAGAAACGCACTGGGAGATGGAACACCTCGGTGGGCGATGTGCCATGCAGGTTGCTCCTGGTACTTATCAGATAGCGGAATGTCGTCTTGGAGCAGCTCCACGGTTGTTGTGGCCTGTTTCAGCAGACCTGTCGTCGGGGCGTCGTGGCTGAGAGCGGAAGGTTCCGTTGGGTTTTAGTGGCTAGTTCTGGCTTCGCTAGCGATTCCCACATAACAACCTGTATGTATGCATGTAGTATGCCTAAATGCATTTCCCAACTTTAAAAAAATATATTGTGAAATACGTCTATAACGATGCTACTAAGGGTATGCTACATGCGGTATGTAATAGGTGACAGTCCCACCCCCTAATGTATCTATGTATAGTTTAATTGTAGTTAGGATATAAGTTTTAGTCAAATTAAAAGACGTCAATTCCATGGCTGTAAATGTCCAGACTGCGTTATACGTACATATTAGGTATATTATTATAATGATTTTCGCTTTTTAATAGACTAAATATAAATGTATACAAGTTAATAGGTAGTAGTTTAAGTTAGTTAGCTAAGTACTAAAATATTAAGAACATTGAAAAATTGATGTCGCGATCTCTACTGCCAACAGACAACGGTACACACAAAATAAAACCACAGACAGTATTATTTAAAATTATTTATTTCATTATTATTTATATTACTTTATTATGTACACTAAAGCTATATACACACAATTTAGGTCCATAATATATTATACATCTCGAAGCATCGAATACAAACGTTCCATATATTGTTAACAGTCTGACTATCGGCTGGGACACTGCACTGCTTTACGAGATAAAGGAAAAGTACAGGAATGTCGTCACTTTAGAATAAATACACCTATTATTAAATATCAAAATACATTAATTACATAACGGAAACGAAAACAGAGTAACAAAAAAAAATCATTTTCAATGTGTTCCCAGCCTTATAATAAAACACTTCCTACACGAGTACAACTTTAGGAAACCGCTCGTTACAAATTTTAAATCGACCGACAGTTAAGACCTACTTTAGGTTAAAACAATAGTCATTAGTGTGTGAAAATGTACGGACAATGGCACCATTTTATATAATTTCTGGCTGACCGAACGAAGTCGGTCGTGTACCGATGTTTATAAATTTGAAATCGTATAGGTCGTAGTATCGTATATCGGGAAATCAGATTTCCCTAATTTCCCAATTTTCCAACGCTTTTCTTTTAAAACTTCATTCAAACTATGACGGAAATTAAATAATCACGGAAGATAACCAATCAGTCCAGCCGTTCTCAAGTAATGCGCTTACTAACATTCATTTTTTTTTTTAAGATTATTTTAAGGTCCTAAAAACAATGTAATTTTGAAAAAACTATCGATCGGTCTGAATTCATAGCGAGCAGTTGTGATACGATTAAACAAACACGTGAGTAACGTTACAATTGGTCATATATAAGGCTTAATTTGTACGCAAAGTAGCATCCATCTAAGCCTAGCTCTACATAACACTGTGTTATCTCTATACGTTAGACTTCATTTGCATATATTTTGCTTGGTTTTCCAAAAGAAGCACAGAAGTAGGGTCACTACAAACTGAGTCAAACATGTCGTCATTTAATTGAAATGAGGTTTTTACTTAAATAATAATATAAAGAAAGAAATTATTAAATTAAATCGCAATTATTCTACAGATCTTTTTGAATTGAAATAGTTTTTGGATGAATCAAGACCTCAACCAATCAAGTGCACTATTTTAAAAATTATTTTAAGTCGTAAATAAGTTGGAAATATGCAGTAATCACAGCAATATAACTTTAAAAAACCATATATCGGTCTAACCCGTAGACATAACATGAACATCTTCAATTAAGTATCGTCACTTCGGCTCACGTACACATTACACATTATAACAATTGTTTTGGCTGTAAATACTCGATACATGTAAAGCAAAATTAGTATTTTAAAAATTACGATTTTTATATATGTATCAATAATATATAAAAAAAACAAATCGTTATTTTTAAGCAATAACTAAAAAAATAATAACTTAAATATCAATAAGTATTAAATTAATTTTTATTTGTGATCTTTAGATAATATAAGAAATAATTTAAATTTAGATAATAATCAAAATTTTGAGACAAAAACTACATCTTAAAGACATATCAACTGGTGTACACTTAAATTATCCGAAAACGGGGTTGTAAAATAATTTAAAATAAAAAAACAAACATAAATGATTTATGATAAATAAATAAAGAAAAATAATTTACTTCATCAGATCGTATTACAATTGAGATTAGTTATTATATATAACTCATTTGTTTATCAATTAATATATAAGCGACTAAATAACGAGGTAAAACCAAATTTATCGCATTATTTTAAATGCATTTGTTGTTCTTCGTCTACAAACCCTAAACCATATGTTAAACTAGAAGGTCTACGAATGGAACAATTACACGCTTCATAACTTGGTTTCATAGTGTGAGGAAAAAGAAATAAAACGACATATGAGGCCCTCAGTGGAACAATGCCTTTGAACAGAAATTTATGTTTGTTATATTTAAACATAAATGGACAAAAACATAATAAATTATTTGATATATTAAATTCAATAATTTCGCTATGGTCATAAATATAACTTAGCTCATTTCTGCACTGACGGCCTGATGCTTTTCAGATACTGTAGTCTAATATCTTAGACATGTTGAAATCAAAATATCTAAATGAAACGGAATCAGAGTTAATTCCTTAAACTACAAAGCCATGAGAGATATAAATAAACATTATCAAAACCAAAGATTTCAATGTATAGATGCGCCCTGCATCATGTATATAGACCTTCTAATTTAGGTGTTCAATTACCAGGGCAACAAGTTAAAAAAATAACGTAATACGTTGCCATGGTAACGGTCGTTACCGTTTTTTTTTCAAGGCATTTTATTGGACAGGTCAGGGCAAAAATTATAGATATGAAAGTCCTTGATAAAAACTCCAGGTTTTTAATACATTGTTAAGTGACAAAGCATCTAGCGATTTACTTTTGTATAAAATTATGTATGCGGAATGTAGCAACAGTAATGTATTAATGCACTAGCGCCGAGCGCGCAGTCATCAAACATCAGTTAAGTGGTAATGCCTAAGCTATATCACCCACTCGCAGATTCAACATTAAATCGTCATTAAAATTATAGTAAATAGGCCATATTTCGATAAAAAAAATAAAATGGTCGCAGTCGATAAACACAAACATCAATTACAATTTTATTTTTAAAGCGAAATTGCAAATGAGATAGTAATATAAATATCAATAAGACTGGTTTTTTTACAATGGAAATATAAACTAAAATTCTTCAAAACAATATATAATTGAAATAATAAATATAATAGAAACTCATGTAATTCTGAACGGTTTTTATAGAAAATGTAATTGACGTTTTCAATTTTAACTGAATTTTCTTTTGAAATTTAGGTAAAACCACACACATTTGACAAATAACTAGAAAATCTAACAAGTTCATAGATATTAGGCACTATATTTTAATAAACATATAAATTTTCCACTATAATCTCGATTTATTCATTTATATGCTATGTTATATATTATTCTATATCCTATATTATATAAAACAAATTGTATATCCGCAACATTAAAATATGTCAATATTAATCAAAATAATAAGGAAAATAAGATTTTTTACAGATTAATATTTTAAGTTTTTAAATACAAATACCTTGCAGTTAAACACAGGCTTACGCAAAAAGATACACATCCAACCCATAGTATAATTTAAAAATATTACGATATAATATGCAAAATGGTGCTTATAAAGCTATATAATTTTGAGATTACAAATCACGAATATTTATTATTACATTAAGTTTGAAATCAGTAAAATCGTCGTATTTGCGACTTAATTTTAACATCAAGTCTTGTTTTAAAGATAGTAACGAAAATAATAATTTTGTAATAACTACTGTAGTAAAATCGCAAACAACAAACAAATATACCAAAAATGAAAAATCGTATGGAGGCGATATCATGTCACACCGCCGTTTGTTTAACGTGAAACGTCTATTTCAACGAGTCGCTTTTAGTGTTTTAGTTTTTTATAAATATTTGACATATTTGAAAACAATTTAGCAAAAATAGTGATCTAAGAAGATAGCAACGGAAAGAGTATCATAATTATCATTTGTCAGACAATAATAACGGTTACCATGGCAACCTACTTCGTCACAGTCCACTTTTCTGACCTGGTACCCGTATGTTTCGTTGTGGTTTTAAAGACGTTTCACCCCAAACATATTAAGTTATGCAAATGCTCAATATCTTTCACCTTTACGAAACCACACTTAAAAATCAGGCACTATTTTAAGTTCATTTCAGTATCCCATAAGAAGTAACTGTATTTTACCGACCACTCATTGTAAAAACTGTTTTAGTAAATTAATTAAAAATAATATGCGTGTTATTGGCACTATGGCTGTTGGTCATTTTATAAAACGCCCACTCTTTATGTAAAACTTTAAAGTATTTTGGCGGTGTTTTGTGCAATAGTTAAATGCAATATTTGTACTGTAGCGATGTCTTTACAGAGTTTAAAATGGATAGAAATGACAAAATTATTTTGTACACAGTATATACTTAAGACTAAATTAACTATCAAAAATTCTAAATGAATAAATCATTTCAAAACCTTACATTGGTTTATAAAATTAAATTACAATAGAATTGCAACTTGTCATTAAATTAATCATTACTTTATACTGATCATAATAATATGTCATTTCTAATATAACAATTATATCATTATCTATGATGAAAGATCCTGTGCACCGAATCATGAATAAAGAAAATGACACCTTAACATTAAAATCACAAGGTTCAATTTTAACTAAACTCTAGCGTTATAATTCGGTTAAGCTGAGGAAGTCTAGACCATCGATCTAATAAATAAAAAAAATATTGTAATAGAACAAGTACTAAGAGTATTATAAAGAAAATTTGCTAAATTAATGTTAATTGTAAAAAATATTTTTGTTATTAAAACATCATTCCGAATGAATGCTCTATATATTTTCTATTTCCCATTTTACGAGTAATTACCGTTAATTCCTTCTCAGCCCAAAGATAAGATTACTATATAATGAATAAATTAAATTCTTTAAAGAATTATACTTTTGAAAAATTAAAAAACATGCCTTTAACAAACTATTTATGGGACTCATATAACCAGTTTGGACTACGACAGTCAAAAGTAGGTTAAATTCGACTGCTAAGCTTCAAGCTTTTAATTATACAATATTGCAAATAGTATTAATAAATGTCTGCTATAAAAATGATTTATAATCATGAAAATCTCTTTACTCGTGAGTAATAGGGCATCCTTACAACATTTCCACATTAAATCGTTTCAGATAACTACTTCCACATTTTTAATGACAAAATAATAAAATAATGACTTACTCTTATTTAGAAAAATAATTTCATTGAACATTACTAGGTTACCAAGAAGAAATGAAGGAGAATGTTAACGACATGAGTATGGATGGCCCGGGACAGATATAACTCAAAGAGACGGACAGTTGCATCACGGCGCGTCGCGCGCGGCGCGGTACTCGGGGAAGGGGTAGAGCACGAGGTGGTCGGCCGTCTTGTACCACGGGATCAGGCCGTTCTGCAAGTTCATATCATGTATATTATAACTACGCAAGTTTGCTGTGCGCACGCACACATGCACGTGCACACGCGCACATACATATACGTACTCACAAATTTTCATATTTATAATGTTAATCCGACTAACTACAATGATTGTTGGCACATAGCAGTAAAGGATAAAATATAATATTCTAATAATTATTGTCAACTATGACAACGCCCTCTCTTCTCTTAACCTCTGTATAGATTGTGCCGATCCTTCGATGACCACTTATTATTATACGATTAAGAAAAACAATGATATTACTAAGTAAGTTTACAATCGTTTATTCCAAAAGTTTGAAGGGCCAATTTGAGCTACGAATTGTATGCTCATATAAATTTTTTTTCCGTATATTTATTATAAAATAAATATACTCACCAAATTAGTGCGTTTGTTGGTGCCGCGCCCAAAGCCGTTCCAATGGTTGCCGGCAATGCCTATTAAATCCCCAACCTGGTGCATGAAAATATATAACTTAATAAATGTTTACAACACCCGTAAACACGTAAACAGAACAGAATAAAACGATCTGCGTCGTTGATTAGCATGTACGGCTGCAGATGTTTAGGTGTTTGGTTCGAGTCTCGGTACAAGCCAATACTTAAGATTTTCTGCAAAAAAGTAATCGTACAGTAACTATATAAAATGCTCCATATTTGTCATCGCAAGTATTGAATACGAATATATTGCGGATTACGGAATATGAGTCACGCTGAATTACAATATCCGTGAGATGCTAATCTCAGACACGATCATGACACTATTATTATAAATCACTAAATACTATAAGTCCCCAGTTGTGCTGAATCGAGAGGTGATTATCTCATGTATATGATTCTATTTACTCCGGCATAGGAATAGAAAACAAATTAAAAAAATATAATAATTATAAGCTAAATAAATACTCGAAATTAGCACTCCAATTATTCGTGTAAACAAATATTCATAAAAGCATATGTGTGTAGTACCTGCGCGGAGATCTGGTGCGCGTCGGCGGCGGCGTGCGGCAGCAGCGCGCGGCGCTCGTGCGCGTTCTGCCCGCCGAAGTAGTAGATGTCGTCGAGCGAGTGCACACTGCGCGCCGCGTCCGCGCGGTTGCTCTGCATCATCTCGTACGCGACGCGCCCCACCTGCACGCACACACACACACATCATGCCAAGAGACTAAGGTTTTTGACGTCTCGAAGGTATACTTGTGTATGTAAAAAAATCTAAACAACAAATATTGTAGGCTTTAGTGCCATTTTAGTATTTTTGAAACGTCGAGAACAAAAAATCAATATATTGGAAAAACTCCAAGAAGATAGGTTTATAACTGAATATAAAATATTATTTATTTAATTTTAGTCGCAACAATCACAACGAATGTCATTTCATTAAAAGGAAGGACTCAAAAGTTATATTCGTGTATGAACAAATAATGATAGCATAGACTCGCCAGCAGTTAGAGTGTTACCTGACTGCTGAAGGTGCAGACGAGGAAGTCGCAGCGCGCCAGCAGGTGCAGGTCGCGCAGCAGCCCGGCCAGCGACAGCGGCGTGTAGCGGCGATGCGTGGCCGCCGCCTGCGCCACGCGCGCGTCGCCCAGGAACACGTAGCCGGGGTAGCGCGCGCGCGCGTCATCGATCACCTGCATAGCGCAACGTACGACACGTACACACGACGCTCGTTATATATTATGTCCCGGGTTCGATTTCCGGCTCGGGCAAACTTTAGTTATTGAGTCTTTCTGCTTAGAAAATAACAAGGGCAGGAATGCGGAAGAGTGTCGTGGAGAAGATACGACTTGTAAGACAATAATGGCAGACCACCAACCTATCTCCTACAAAAGCTTACGTGGTATCCTAGGATACCAAATACCGGGGCGGCAGCAACGGTGAGGAGTAGTCGTCAATGACAATTACGTTTATGAAAAGATTGCACTACAATGATACCAGTCAACAGAGGTCAGTAATGTCAAAGTCGCAAAGAATAAAAAAGATAAAAAATGGGTCTATCACACACATCGATGCCGATACAAGGAAGAATGTCGCCAGGAGATAGGACTACGAGCAAGGGTACCAACTACTAGGACAGCGCCGAGCGCAAGAAGAGAGGCATCGTCGGTGGCGATTACGAGGCGTACGACAATACAGCCATTCACAAAAACTTGAAAGGATGTTACCGGGCACCAGAGCAACAGCGAGGGCGAGGAGGTGGGTGTGCGTACTCACGCTGGCGTCGTCCGTGGCGAGGTAGACGCGGCGCGCGTCGACGTGGCGCGTGAGCTCAAGCTGCGCGAAGTACTCGTGCACGTGGCGCATGTACTCGTCGATGTGGTGGAAGGCCGCCTCCGTGCCCACCTTGTCCGTGCGCCGGATGTGCACGCTGCGACACACACGCGCGCACATTACATACATACATTATGGATCCTTCGTCGTATACACTATGTATACACATAAGCAAATAAAAAATACCGGAAATGTGGTACCCTAAATTGCCGCGTTTCCGAAATATTTTAAGATAAAGATAACTTCTATAAAAACAACTTTTATTTGTATGTAACATTAACTCATACATATGATTCATTATGTTTTAATGATTGGCATCGTTTTCATATATCCATCTTTACCTTCGATTATCTCGAAAACCTTGTTGGTAATATTTTTTTGTTTGTTTTAGTGTCTTCTTTGTCTTCTTTTTAATATAACAATTTCAGAATGTGCCCTAAGTTTAGTGAAATAATAATAATAGCGGGCCTTGGTTTACTCCAAAAGTACTATCTATTCCCTTTCATTAAGACATTTTAAACGCCTAAATGAAAAAAATGTTTTAGGTTTTTTTTACTAACGATAACATTAATGATAATAAAAAAAAAATTATAAATGTATAAGAAATATAAATATAAAGCTCACCCCACGATGGGATTCTTAAAGTTCATCTTGGCGATAGTCTCGTTGATGCTCTTCTGTATGGCGGGCTTGGGTTTCAGTATGTACTTCAGCATCTGGCCGATCCACCACGACGCCGGGTCGCCGTTGAAACGAACTATTCTGTAATCATATTTTAAAACAATAATAACTAATATTATAAACCATTGCCATTTTCAACTAACGTTCGACTTTCGTGTGTGTATATTTGTTACTCTTCCACGGTAAAACGTCTGGAAAACAGCACGACACCAGACTATGGCCTGGAGTAATACATAGGCTACTATTAGGCACCTCTGGAAGCATTCGAGCCAAACGAGAATAAGTCGTTAATGAAATATATTATTAATTCAATATAATAGACTCGGTGCTCTAACAGCTAGAATGTACGACTGTGGATCCGAAAGTCTTGGGCTTGAGTCTCGGGTCGGGCCAAAGTTATTAATTTTCTTTTAAAAAATCACGATATCAGCCCGAAATTGGGAAGTTGACGGTGCTCCACCCCCACGCCTTAGAGGGCACGTATCACGGTTTTGCGCCTGATCTCTCCCCACGACTGCCGAAGTGTCCTCCCAACGCAGTGCAGTGTGACAGTGACAGAAATAAAGACCACAATCGGTCGGAAGGACATTATTATTATAATTACAAAGTGTTATATATTAGGTAGGAACACCTCCTACTAATAATAGAAAATAAATACACAATTTATTACCTGTGAGCCAAGTCCGAGGGTATGGCCAGCGGCAAGAACTTGGGCTTCTGAGAGATGGAGTCGATGAAAGGCAGAGACACTACCTTCGCGTCGTATGATGCTGGAATGAAACAAACAATCTACTGTTAGAATACTGAGTTTCAGCTATATGCATTTAGTGATGTCAGCGTTACAATTAGCATTAATCGATGTTCATTCATTTATGGAATATTTGAAATTTATTTTGTACTTATTTTTTTAATTGAATTTCTCTTTTTTACCCTCGTCCAAATTCTACTTATTGCTGGTCTCAAGAATTAAATTGTTTACTTTATATATGATTGAAACGTTTTTATTAATAAATACTAACACTTGGTCCAATATTCATATACATATGTTATACTTAGTACAAAGAGAAAAACCTGTGGGGAGCGTCCATTTAAATAATGTGAGTGTTAGAGCATATAATAGTATAATAATATATAGTATTTATCGCTATGATAATAATTAGGTATATTGTAAAACCAGAAATGTTGCTTATCTTGTCTACAATGTAAATAAACACAACAATAACACATAAAATGTAGATATAACATGTTAAAATATTAACTACGCATACCATTAAACAAACATGTCGTAAAAATAGCAATTTATGAGTAAAATAATGACTGGATTCATCAAATTGCAAAATAATTTTTGCTATAAGTGGCTCAGTTCATGGTCGTTACACTGCAAATTGATCCAAAAGACACGACTTCCATGCTCGCCGGTGCAAGTATTAGTTAAACAAATTATTTAAATGATCTATACAAATAAATAAAATTGAAATGCCTGTTTGTAAGGTCAAAATAAAAGCTTTTTAGTAAATCCATATGAAAGTATTACGATACTTATAAAAAAAATCTTTTTTATTTTTTATTTTTTGTCTGTATGTCTGTTTGTTCGCCGAAATGTCCAGACGGACGGATTTTGGCGGAACTTTCGCTGGCAGATAGCCGATGTTATGAGAAACTTAAAACTAAAGACGCAAAAACGCAAAAAAAATTATAACCCATAAAACAAAATCCGTACAACTATAAAAAATATTATAGTAAAAATGGCAATCGTGTGTCAACGGTCTCCCTAATCGCCAGAAAAGGTAAAAAACATTTAAATAAATCTCTAATGCATAGATACACTTTAAAACTAAAAAACTATAGTCTTCGAATTGAAAACATTCAGTCTGCAGAATGTTCGCGACAACTTCTCGACATCCCAAAAGTTCAGATTGAAAAAGTTGGAATAAAAATTTTACTTCACTGCTTATTTCGCTGTTGAAAACCGTTTAGTCACAGAATATACGAGTACATATATTTTTGTTAACGTACTGGGATACATACTTTATGAGGATGTCTGGACTCGAAGTGTGTGTTTAGTTAGATACACATATTTGATCAGCTGATTTTAAACTTAACTGTGTTTCAAGATTACTACTTCTATGCTAATATTATAAAGAGGCCGAGTTTTTTTTTAACGCGCTTGTTTCAAGATTACTACTTCTATGCTAATATTATAGAGGCCGAGTTTTTTTTTAACGCGCTAATTTCAGGAACTTTTAATCAGATTTGAAAAATTCTTTTTGCATTATTTAGGAAGGCAATAGGCTATATATCATCATGCTACTACCCAAGGGAGCGGAGCAGCAACCATAAATGTCAACAAATCGGACAGACTTCCATGCATTATTTGTAAAACTGATATTTATAATTAATCACACAAAGTTAACGCTGGTAACACCGCGGGGCACAGCTATATAAAATAAAAAACAGTCATTGAAATATGTCAAACCAATTCTACTAAATCGAAACAAAGACAGAACAGAAAATCATTAAATGTTGTGAGTTTTATTACATCTCGAACATCTTAACTATTAAAATATATAGGACAAAATCGTTGAATTCATATAATTATACATAAGAGTTTGAAAGTTATATTCTTCACGACGTTTCAAAGCCAGAGGTCACCACTACTATGTTTTTTATCAATACTTTAAAAAGATATAAATTAAGTAATTATTCACGCACGCTCGGCCAATAGAGCTATCAAATTAAAATGTAATCAAAAAGTTATGATGATATAATTAGGATAAATGGTATTTATGTATATTTTTAAGAAATATCTGTGTTTGTTTATTTCTTTACATTTGAGTATTTAGACTACCTAAATTATAGCCATACGCTACCTATACATATTTACTTTATACTTAAAAGTGATTGGGATTAAATTATTATATAAGCTGGAGTAGTAGTAGCAAATTTTTTTGTGTCAAAATCCATGAAACATACCCGTATGTCGTATATGATTATTGCAAGAGCTATAGTTTATTGGCAAATAAACATTATATGTAATACAAATAGGTCGCGAAACATACACGCACGTACCTGGCCACTGCACAACTTTGTCGTCGTAGACCGAGACGCAGCTATCGGATATGGGGTAGAAAACGTACTCCCACCCCTTGTTGTTGTACCTCCACCCCTTGGAGTTCAATATGAGCGTCCTTTCTGTGGCGTATGCGAAGATTAAACAGTACACTATGTGATGGAGCTGGCACCCAAAACCGCATCCCTGAAAAAAGTTTGTACATTGCTACAGAATTTATAAATAAACTAGTGGTTCCTTCCACTCGGATGCACCCGAGCGTACCGAGGGTAAGCCGCTAGTATTTATTATCTAATACAAACTAATTATCGTCATGGTTATAGCTGTATTTATAGTTTGAACGTATTGTGCTAAACAGGAAAACAAAATTTGTGTTAACCTACATCTGCTCGACCGAAATTTATTATTAGTTTTTAGATAAAAGTTCATGAGTTTTATTATATCATACCTAAATGAGGCCTTATAAAGACTGAATTTATTGGCATTTTAAATACACGACACTTGAATCATTTCATATATAAAACTATTACTTTGTTAGCACTGTACGTGTGGGTAGGTACTTTTTAACCTTTACTATTATATATATATATATATATATATATATATATATATATATATATATATATATATATATATATATATATATATATAAGAATCTATAGTTTTTTTAATTTTTGTCTGTCTGTCTGTGTGTCTGGGAACGCATCGCAAGAAAACCACTGGACAGATGAAGGAAATATTCTTTTATTCTTCCATTGTTAAGTAATATGTGTTTAAGAAAAATATATAATATGTACATTGTACATATATGTATTAGAACATTAGTACTTAGGACTAATAGTAATTAACTCCTACATCGAGAAATAAAAAAATATATGAATGAAAAATTCCATTAGAGGTGATCGACCCAACATAGTGCTTCTGTATACGGTGCATTTGTTTGTAGAGCTAATTATACCGAGGCCGCGTCACGACGCTTTGTAAGCACTTGTATTATCATAGTTTAAAATATAAACATTCACTTTCAGACACATTGTGTATATTTATATACACCTAATTCCTAATGCAGATTTCTAACTTTGATAGTTCTCGTTGGCTAACTCCCATAGTAAAAGTAAAATTTAGAAACGCAAAATAAAGTAAAATAAAATAACACATAGAGTTCGATCGCACTTGATATGCTGAACGTACTGAAGGGTGATACCCTATCACCCTTCAGTACGTTCAGCTAGATCTTTTCAAAAGGCAAATATTTACTACCGCTATATAAAACTCTACGTCTGAGCCTTATGGCTAACAAAGTTTTAAGAGTGCAGTGTAGTATATATGACTATTATGAAGAAATTCGGGAGTTACGTCAGTTTTTTCTCTTTAATAAAGAAATTTAGTTAACTAGTGAACTGAGTGTGCAGGCGAGTTTTTGGTACAATCTCTGCTCCCATGAGAAATATTGACGTACTATGAGAAACACAGAATCTAGTGTTTTAGTCTAGCAAGGCATCATTCAAGTTTCATCTAATCCCAATTTATGCGTAATTAATTGACAAATATAAATCTAAACACCTTCAGAAACTCACATATTGTAGGTATATATAATAATGATAGATATACAAAAACTAATTTGTCTATTTCACGTAGTACGTGGATATTTTATAGCATATATCCCGTCGAAGTATAGTTCGTTCTGAATTATTTACGGAGACGTATCACGTAAAATTTACGATACGACGTTGACTCGCAAAGATAAGTATCATGAGGACCTGCGCGCAGGGCGGGCGGCGGCCTCACCGACGATTGTTTTATAGACTATAATATTTCCAGTAGGAAAATGTAAGCATAAGACAAACGTATACACAATAAAACATGGAGCCATTTTAAAGAAAAAATATTTAATAATTTATCTGATAACCTATGTACAAAACAATATATATAGTTATTAGTTATATAGAGAGTATCGTCACAATCTTATATACTAGCGCCCTGGTTATGGTTAAGTTTAAAACGGCACAGACATGATATTTGTACTCAGACGACGTACGATAAGTGGCTGTCGAACGTTGATGGTAAAATATCACAAACGATGTGTTTGAGCGGAACATCTAATATTACATCGAGTGGTGGAGAAATACACGTATTACAATTTATGAACACATAGATACGTACTTTGATTTTCATATATTGATTGAAGAGTTTTGATAATGTTTTTACAGCTATATCTGAAAAATGTTCTCTGAAAAATATAGTATCATTTTGTCAAGGCTTATTGGTATCGTAAAGTGGCGACGCGAGCGAAACTAATATACCTATATTAAATATGTATAAACAAATATACCGTAAAATACCTCGGTGAAGTTATCAGTTGAACACATATGGATTTCCCGATCACTAGGTAAATTCAACATCTACTTTGTTTAATAACCTGTTTAATTAATGTAAGTAACAATATAACAGATTCTATTTACTTTACCTGTTCACCGCACAAATGTTATTGGTGAGTTATAGCAACTTTATTTATGATAAAAACTAAGTAACTTCTAACAACTGACTTATAAGTCAATATCATACATAGGTATTCCTGTACATATTCAACGACACGTTTGGCTCAGTTTGTAGTGACTAGTGACCCTACTTGCTGTGCCAGCGGTTGCTTTCGACTTCGCTTTCGGGGTTCGAGTCCCGCTGGGGGCATTCATTTATGTGATGAGCACAAATGTTTGTACTCCAGTCATGGGTGTTTATAATATATTTATAGTATGTATTTAAAGTTATATATGCGTAGTGTATAAACTATCTGGTCTCCATAACACAGGCCTCGTAGCTTACCATGGAACTAGATGGTGCTGTGTTAATGTCCCAACATAAAAAAAAACCAAGAGATGTCACTCTTCAGGTAAAATTATCCCGTATCCCTATGCAATGATATCGTCGATAGTAGTCGTTCTCCGTTACTGCGTGAAAGGTGGAGAAACCAAAACACATAAAATATACTTTCGCATTTCTAATATAAGTAACATAAACATTACATATTATGGTTTAGAAGTTACATTATATACACAGATATTTATTGTTTTGTATTTCTATTTGTATTTTTGTATTGTCAATAAATGATTTTATAGAAGATGGCACACCTTGGGAATGAAATGATCTCCTCCAGGCTACTTCAACTTGATAGAAATATTGTAAATTATAATCTTACTTTAAAAAAAAGATAATGAGTTAATATTAGTCCCGCTGAGTTTCTTTCGCCAGTTCTTCTCAGGTCTGAGCCTTCTTCTTTCTGAACTGGTAGTAGACTCATGACGATCAGTAAAAAAATGTAATAATTTAATGCTGAATAAAATATTTTGAATTTGAATATTGTATTTTGTATTCAGCCCTTTTTAACATCTCACTGCTGGGCAGCCTCCCTAAATGCGACGGTTATCAGGCCATAGTCAACCACGTTGGCAATAAGCGGGTTGACGGACTTCTCATGTCTTTCGAAAACTTGCTACATTTTCTGTCATGTAGGTTTCCTCCTAAAACTAATTCTCTAATTCCTCCTAAAACAAGTGGGAAATGACGTTTAAATAGATTCGCATATAAAAATATCATTGGTTTCCCAATAAAGCGCGTTACCACTGGTCTACTACTGCCATTACAGTTTATGTGCTTGTTAAAAATACTGTGTTAAATATCACATTATAGAACCAAAACATGTTTTCTCCCCCTGCGCCTTTGTTTACGTTATCTTCACGACTGAAATAGAAATTTGCCATAAACATAGCGTGATTCGTCGACAGACTTAAGACTTTAAATCCCGGAAAAGAAATAGTGTTTCGACGAATTGCGTTCCGTTCTGTTTCTATTAAGAAATCGATGGTTAATTTTAGGCATAACGACCTACCTATTATTAACAACACGCGTCGACGTTTATGCGTTATGGAAAAACAAATTGCTATTGGTAGTTTGTATTAGTTGCCCATTTCACATCGGTTTAGAAAGTAGCGGATGGACTTTTGTACATATATGCCATACTAGCGGCTCACCCTCGCTTCGCTCAGGTTCGTCGCTGAGAGATAAAAACAAATCTATTCCACGGGAACCGTAAATTTTTCCGGGATAAAAAGTAGCCTATGTGCTATTCCGACTATAATCTATCCTTGTGCCGAATTTCATCCAGAACAGTTCTGGTGTGATTGAGTAACAAACATCCATGCATCCAAACTTTCGCATTTATATAGTAGTAAGACAACATATATCTTCTGACTACTCTTCCTTTCTCTTCAATATAGTGATTTTTGGGTATATAACTATAATCATATTTAAAATTGTAACGGATTCACAATCAATTTCAAATAAGACTTATTTATGGGGCAAGTTTTTTTCCAGATTCTTTATAATAAGTCAGATACTTACAGCTTAAGTTCGTCGTTTCAAGCTCGCCTATCTATACCTAAATATAAATAAGTTGCCTATAAGTAGATTACGCGAGTGAAAACGTTGCAATAACTAGCTATCAATAAATTGGTTCTTATGAAAAGTTTATTCTAATTCTTTTATCTTTTAGAAAGGTCAAACGTTTCTAAGCCCGTATGTAGCAACAATCTCGATAAGAGGACGTGTCAATAGCATTCTTCCTGCAATCAATGTCGGCTGCGAAACGAGATTAAATGTAATGCCTCTTTAAAACTTCTGCGAGCTATTTTATACTAAGCATTTTATTTAATTTAAATTTTTCTTTAAATAATTTCCATTGTTTGTATAAAAATATGATATCTAAAATATTAATTAGAATTTGATTGATTGTTATATTCGTATGTACGATATATCGCTAATATCTTTTTCACGAGTGCCATCATAAATCTGATGTTCGGCAATTTTCATACGTAGTTCAATGAATTAATTATTAATAGATAAGATTTAATTAGTATTTTGCGAAAAATCTAGATTCATTTTCAATCAATTTTTAGGAATCGACAAAGAGATAATATCAAAACCACGTAAATGATAATAATTGTAACGGGTCGTCAAAGCAAAAATGAACATTACTTAAATTTACAACATGACATTGTTTATATTAACTTCGGTACGCAACTCCGCTTATGGGAGTTCAGTCCAAAACTGGTTATGGGGGTAAAACCGGGACACGGCACTAAGGCTTTCTAATGTGTTTCAAATTTTCGCCCGCTTCGTTCCTTACAGTCAGTCATCTTGAATAGTTCTTGAAAAAAAGTTAGATGACGTGCATTGGAAATATTTGAGAAAACAGTTTTTACAGAGGTTTGATATGATATTAGACGGATTTCAAAGGTGTTCTATAATCTCGTATGTCAAGGTAATTGGAATTTGTTTTTGTTGTAAATATTAAGTGTGTATTAATGTTAAATGAACATTGATTGAATGTTTATTGCGACATGTTTTTAAGTTATTTGATTACTTTGTTTCTCTTCGGTGTGCTTGGGGTAAAACCGTACGGGGTAAAACCGGGTAGAATCCGGTTTTGTACCACTATATATTTTTTTATTTAATACTATTTTGTATGATAAATTGTTACAGTCCACAAAAAATATGACGAAATTGTAAAAAAAAACGACGAAATGACAATCCTGAAGTGAAGAAAGTATGAAAAATGCCATTTTAGAATAGACGGAAAAGTTGAATACCGTCTCGCTTCTCGAAAAATTTCCAAAAAAGAAGAAGGTTTAGACGATAAGTGATGATTGGGTGCAATGACAATATACATATGAAAATATTGAAAGGAAAAAACTCTTGTTCACTGTCAAACAAATGAAAAGAGAAAAATTCAGCACTTTTATAATTGCTTCCACGATCTTTCGAACTACGAACATTCTTCCAGCACGATTATCACAAGATAATAGTGGCGAACAATACAAAAGGTAAGACGGTGGGAATCATCTTATTCACCTTCAACATTTTTTGTATGAATGAAATTAATCTATACATATAATAAAACAGTAACTTAGTGAAATCTGTACATGAAATATTTTTTTTAAAAACAATTACTGTAACGTACTGTGCGGAATATAGACCCAAAAATAAAAGTTATAAATTTTTATGTCTGTTTTTCTGTATGTCTGTTTGTCTCTTTGAGTGTGCGCGTTTCACGCAAAAAGTACTGAACCAATTTTAACTAAATTTTGTGTAGTGATAACTTATTACTCGGATCCACATTTAAGATAGCTTTTAGTGCAGGAAAATCTTTCATTCCCATGGGAAAGCACAATAACTGGTTCAATAGAGTCGTCCATAGAAAGCTAACGCTAGCTAAATCTTAAGAGATACAGTAAAACAATGTACTAAAAATGTATATATTATTATAATATATAAAAGGCAATGTCGCGACTCACTGACTGATTTATAAACGTTCAGCCCAAACCGATGATGATAGATGTTTAAAATTTGGAGAGGATATTGATTATATACTGTAGGCTTCATTTAAGAAAGGATTTTTCGAAATTAATCCCTTAAGGGGGTAAAATAGGGGATGAAAAATAGTCTGAAACTCCGTCATTTTTAATAGCTTAAAAGTTATAATTGCGAAAGTTTGGATGGATGTTTGTTACTCAATCACGCCAGAACTTCTGAACGAGATTGATTTGAATGAAATATGACACAGAGATATATTATAGTCTAGAATAGCACATGGGTTACTTTTATCCCAGAAAAATTTACGGATCCCATGAGATAGATTTGTTTTTGTTTTTCACAATTAAAACCGGTTGGTCATTTTCTTTTATTATCTGATTCCATTTTATTTGGAGTGCCTTTTAATATGGTTGAGTTAGAGTTATGATATGATGATGTCCTTTGATATTTATTTTTTTTTAATTTGGCGATTGAATATCTACATTTGTGTGAATAAACAATAAATAAGTAACTAAAATGTATGGGTGTGTGTCGCTGCACACCCGAGTGAAGCCATGGCGGAAAATTAACATACGATCGCACGAGATAGTCTGCTACAAATTAAGCTACTATTGGTTTCTTACTCGCAAACGCCTACCTTCTTATACGGAAACTTGACACAATTAATGATGTAAGTGAATACTACAACACATTCCCCCGTACATACATACATAGTATATCAAGACCTATGCATATTTAAAGTAACTAAGCTGAGTGAACGACGGGGACAGGTAACGACAAAGCTTAGCAAGAGAAGTCCAGCATCAAATATTCACGCGCCCTAACAAAGAAACCCGCCAAATTGAACAACTGTCGCAAACTTAACAACGCTTCTCACGTACTACCCAAAATTTTCAAGCCAACAAAAAACATTGTTTAATGTTTATAAGTATTTATTATGTTTTTTAATTCATCAGCATATGTCTCTATTGAGTATAAAATTAAGGAATACAAACTTTTTATAAAAATAAAATTAATTTGCATTTTAGGTTATCGGGGTAAATGTAATTAATTAAATAAAAAATGGGTTTAAAATATACATACTTTTATACCACATTTCCCACAATTTCATTAACTAAGAATGTCATACAATTCTACATGAACCTATATTCGTGATCGGAGAAACAACTCAAAATGCATTCTCTTCTTCCAATATTCTTTTCTATTTTCGTTAAATATAAAAAAAGTCATTTCACCAACAAAATTACTTACCTTATTCAAATTACATATGACCTTCCTCGCGTCCTTGCAGTCGGGAGGGTTCTGCAAGTACTTGAGTCTCCTCTGCACGAGGTCGCTCACGTTGGCGGCTTCAGTCAGCCTCCAGTCTTGGTAGCCGTCTAGTTCCGGGAGCTTCTCTTGGTCCGATAGTAAAGATCTACAAATAAGATACTATTATAATCATTGCAGTCACTTTTGATCAAGTTATTCTCAGGGAACAGTTTCATGGGCGATGTGGGTTTTCTTCCTAGGTGGGATAGGCTCTCAAAACCTAAACGTTAATTAGATAAATTCCATAAATAATGAAAAATTTTCTTTAAAAAATTACTCTTGCTGTTATTTATTAATTTACGATTTTAGATTACTTATGGTTGGTTAGCAACCGTCATCGAAATAAACATGTATTTGACTGGCACTGCCCACTAAGCCGAAGGTACAATACAAAAAGGAATTTGATCACAATAATTACGCTTTAACTAAAAAACACACTGGACGTACTAATAATAATTGTATATGTGTTCGACTTATACCTATATGGAACTCGTCGTCTATACTAAAGAGAAAGAGAAAGAACTAATGAGAAAGAATTTATTTTTTGTAAGTTGTCAAAAATTTGCCTAATTTGTTATTATTTGGCGTGCGCTAAAACTAGGAAGAAACCAGAGCGAAGCGAGGGTGAGTCGCTATTAATAAATAAAATTAACCCAAAATCGGTTTTACTACTCGTTGCCCATTGAACAGTACCACCATCCAAAACCTGGCCATCAGACCAGCTCGATGGTATAAATCATTGTAATGATATACAGATTACATAATTAATTATACGACATTTAAAGTAGGTTATAATGGATATAGTAACAATACAAGTGAAGCTAATGAAGGCGCGATAGAAGCTAGACCTTTGAAGGGTAACCAAACTAACCATATATGTGTGATTTCGACAGTAATGTAGGTAAAATGCGTACAAAATATTAACTTTGACTGAAATTAATGAAATCATTCAGAAACATTTTATATAGTAAATAACCATTTATTTTTTATTACCTTTTATTATTTCATTATATAGTAAGTTACCTAACTCTAGCTTTATTTTATTTACATACGATTACTCGCCCTACAATTTATGTATAAAAATCGATTATCATTCTAACTAAAAACATGTCTTAGTCAGTACAGTTATAGACTCTACATTATGCATGACTCATGAGGACTTTATCGACTTTGCAGGCTTGGTATAATCGCTGACATAAAATCGAATATGACGTATAGGTAATAAATAGGTGGTCTATAACGTAATTGTTTATCTAACTACTAACGTATTGGTTTTGCTGTCCAGTTACGTAAAATCATTTACATGATGATTACTGAATATGTTGTGACCACCAAAACGCTACACGCTGCACGCTACATGCATGAAATATGTACTCCGAGTTATAACTTCGCAATACCGCAAGTGTATTTCCTATGATAATCGAATTAAATAATTAAACTACGCGAGCCCTAGGTTAGAGACAGCCAGACGACAGTCGACCCTTTTACTTCAATATTTGGTCCTAAATCGTCCAAAGCTGATAAATTTGAACAACTTTGTTGATAACTACGGATGACAAGGTGTCATCTGTTTTGTGTTGCAGTACGTGCTAGAGCTAACTCGCTAAACCAACTATAAACTTTTATTTTACACCAAATTCATAGATAAATAAACAATTTATATAAAAATATATTGCGTTATAAATTATTATTGACTATCGAGGCATTGACCAGTGCAATGCTCTTTCAGAAATAAACCACGTAAGAAATCCTTCATCGTCAATTTTCAACGGTGAACCATCAAATAATTCTATTACATTGAAGAAGATAAGTTCCATTGAATTTAAGTATAAAAACTATCGAATAAATAAACTAACCGTGCAAGACGAACGTTTTAAAGTGAAATTGAATAATCAAGAGTCGAAATACGAACCCTGGTTACTGGACCGATACTTGTTACACCGTGCTATACCTAAATATCTTAACAATGACAAGATTTGCCGCCTCATTTCAAAATGTCCTCTCTTAGTAGGTAAAGGTTATCAATCTTTATATGAAAACGTCTAAAATTGAGAGCTTCAGTAGTTTGATCTTAGTGTCAAAGCATCAGTCAAGTCAGTTAAGACAGCACACTAGTAGACGAATTAGATATGTAGGTATAAATGAACACTAAAATAGTGAGTAAGTAATAGTAACAACTACCTTTTCCTTTCCGCGACTTGATCCAAGATGGACTGAATCTTCTCCGCCTGCACGTCTTCATTGATCAGTTTGGTGAGCTCATGGTTAATAAAGAACCATATTTCCTCGGTATTAGAGTACACCCTCCGCCTGAGGTTCTCGTATTCCTCGGACGGCCCGCCCCCGTTGTGGAGGAAGGCTGATGTATCTATGTCGTTAAGGTTTACACTAGATATACGAAAAAAAGTTGTATTATATCCAAAACATAACAAAAGTCATACGAATGTTACATAATTTATCATTCAACTATATTATAAGGCTTGTTTAATTTAAGGTATATTAAATTTATAAATATCACATATTAACAATAACTAGGTTAAAATGTCTAGGACTCTAGGTAAAAATATATATAACTTTGTTAGAGATACAACAAACGAAATGCAAACAACGCGAGAGACATCACACAAGTTCCCACACCTCAGATACAAACTTTGAATAAAAATTCATTTGAAATGGAAACACCACGAGCAATATTCCAAAACATACCCCGAGGACTTCTTTATCTGCGAAATGAGGTTGCTGTGCTGTTGCTTCAGCGACTCTAGCTGTAGAGAGACCGTTTTTAATCTCTCTTGGAAGTCGGACACCTCCTCCGTGCTGCCCTCGCATCTGCAAAACCCTTTGTTTTTAACCTCGCATCTATTTAGTTTTAGTATAAATAAAAACTACTTCTTATATAAACCTTTATGTATATCAATTTGGCACATATATAAATTAGTCTATTCAATTATATATTAATTCCAAATATATGTATAACTGTTCTTAAGATATAAATAGGTATAGGATATAGGTCATGAATTCGATATCGGCACTTTGCTTTGCTATATACAAACATCAAGTTAGTATATGCATTGTACATATATAGCAAAATAAAAAATGACAACAATACAGATGCACCTGGGAAATTAATAAAACGGCAAGTGGCACTGAGTTTTCTTTCATTATAACCGAATGGAAGTATAAAATTAAGCATACATTTTTTTTGATGATATAGTACCTAATTTCACGTGCAAGTGTTACTATCACAGTGAAACTAATAAACAATAAAGTGAAAATTAGACTCGCAGAGTGAGCGAGTTCTTATTATTATTTTTTAAGTTTGGTACACGTATAACATTAACGTTATACGTGTACCAAACCCATTTTTCAACAAAAAAAACGTTCATACTTTTCTTTTTGTTTGCCAGAATATCCACCTCATTATACAAATACCTACTATGTCACAATATGTTAAGCATTAAGCAGCAACCTATTACGGCTAAAAAGATACAGGCCCTTTGAAGATAGGGCATAGAGATAGACACACGCAGCCTCACTAATAGGGTCCAGACCTTTTTGGGTACGGAACCCTTCAAAAGTACGATATCCTCTAGTTATTCAACATAATAATCGTATGGAACTATTTTATAGTACAAGCAAATCTTTTCGCGCTCTATAAAATTATTATAGTTTTATTTACGATTATATATTATTTATCGGAACCGGATTTTTACGAGGGAAAACGAGCACATCATGACCAAACCTACAGAAAAACATATAAGCAAATACAGTGTAAATAAAAAATCTTAGTGCGACATAAAAACGTGAACGTTCATTAGCAAACGCTATTACTCTTTATCGCCAATACAACTTTAATTACACTAAGTTTTTGATAAATTAAAGGTGTAAATTCAGTACAAAAATTAACATAATCCTATTTCAGAAGCGTAATATAAAACTCCATTATTAAACACGCATACTTAATTAAGTGTTAACCTTAATCAAAAACAAGCTAAAGTTTGCAACAAAGCCAGTTAAGAAAATAACTCAGACTTAAGAGAGCCGACATAAAACTTTACAAACATTATTTAAAGCTAGCAGTACCCGCGGCTTCATCCGCGTTCAAACTCCCGATCGCTACCAAACGTCACAGGATCACCGATTAGGCTAATTGCCTGAAAATTTCATCAATATCGCTCCAGCCGTTTTGGAGTCCATAGGGAACGTACATACACACATCGATTTTTATATACTTATATATCTTTCATTAAGACAATATTAAAATAAGGTAGACCTATACTCTCAGAACATGATCTACGCATATTCTGCATATATGAGAGGTACACGTATGGATACACGAAGCCCAAACAAAATGCACGATGAATTTTGAAATAAAAGTTTAATAACGAAAAATATCCATCCATGGTGGAAGTTCGTCTCAGACGGGACGGCATTATGCACGCTCGCCCGCAACAATACGTGTCCTCCGCGCCGCGCGCCCGTGGCGAGTCTCGTTATAGCGTATTCTGAATTAAATTTTAAACGCTTCCTTATAACCTCGCCAAGTATAAGTAAATTTGCATAAATGAAAAGTTTCTATGGAACTCATTAGCGTATGATTCTTGAAACATTTACATATTCTTTACACAACACCTGCGTCCAACCAACTCCGCAGTAATCTAGCACTAGGTACCTACACTACGTGGTGTGTGGACGGAAAGAACCTACTTATGACAATAATCCAAATGCCAAATTAATTCTCTTTAAGAGGTAATGAAATCGATAGATGAAATACAGTAGAATCGTTATACCTAAAACACAACGTTACTTAAGTAAAGCGAATTGACGTAGTCGTTTTAATCGTTATTAAAAATACTAGGCTCCATTGTATGAGCAAAAAATGGAACGCTAATAACAACACTCGTGCAAATAAAAAGGATATAAGTTATGTAGGTGACCCAATGACGGAATTTTTAGCGCAAATACCTAATACATGCATAACTAATTGATATAAGTTCAGCAATGACATTGCGCGCTGCATGCGTTATTGATTATATATACACAACTATAATTTTTGTTACCTTTTATATTTTAGTCAACATGACATAAACAAATATTATAAATTTAAAATAATATTACGTAATTAGGCAAGTTATATAACTAATTAAAGGATGGATTGACTAAGTTATTAAAGAAGCTAGTGATTTTAAGCTAAGTTCAAAGTAATTTTGGGAACTATCCAAGCAATTTCATAATTCAGCCCGAGCCTAGAGGACGACGCCGCCAGATCAAATTAAACACGGCCTGCTCTCCGCAATGTGAGCAAGAGTTATTGCAGACTATTGTAATGTTGCTAGACTCGTGTCTTCGGGGATTTTCGAATAATTGTTCGAGTTCAGTATAATAAGGATCGTTATTATATCGAAGAATTGATCATTAAAATATTTCTAACAAAATAAAACTTTGACGGACTTGGTTTTTTTCGGTTTAGAAAAAATCTTTTTTATCAACCACTCCATCATCTGATTTTCTGGTCAGATCGAAGGTTAGATTAAATGGTTGTATCTGGTCAAATGCATAGAAAAAAATTAAAGTTTGCTAGTTGTTATACACGTTCAATTAAACTAAATACTTCATTTATATTTCATTTAAAAGGCCTTAAATTCTCAAAAGAGCATCCAATTGTTGTTGATATGATTGTACTGATTTTAGCAATTAATCTACAGTGAATGAAGATTGGGTCAGAAGTTATAAAGAGAAAAACTTTCAAAATTTCGCAATTATTATATCGATTCTACCAGCTTCGTGGACATTAAATTCAATAAGACTATCCACTACGATGAAACATCAAATAAATGGACTATCAAAAACAAGATATCTATAACTTAATAAGTCTGACGACGAAGCCTTCTCCAACTTGTATACATATAACGTACATGTACGTTTAACTCATAGGGAACGAGTAATAATTTTATATTTCTATTAATCCGATGTAAACGTTCACACAGTTTATATTTAATTTCAATAAAATGACGCCATGATGGATACCATTACACTTAACACAAAGATAACAGGACTAGATCACAAGGACTTGCCGTCAATGTTGATGAGCAGGAATAACTCTTTAACTTTAGTTTCTACCTAAAAATTGTATGATGTGACATGACACGGTAGGTCTCAAGTGACAGTTCAAGACCTACCTCATCGTAGGTGACATTGCAATTTCTTGAATCTTATAACATCATAATAAATATTACAATTACTCCTAACATAACTTAGTAATAATGACCTAATGTTAATGTATTTTAATTCTTTGCATCCTAACTTTTGTTAAGCATAAATAATAAAAAAAGTTATCCAAATTAAGTATCTTCACAAACAGTGACTAAAGTTTTACGCATCCGCATAATTTTCTTAATTTACACTAAGTATAATAAAGAGTAAAATTTTGTTTCTTTAGTTTAAGTTTAATTAGTGAACGTTCTAAAAACCTGCTGAACCAATTCTACAAAACATTCTGCTACCATTGTAACCCACTATGCTTAAGATCTTATTAAGGACGTAGGTACCATGCGAGTGGAGCCGTAGTCGGAAAGGAATGAGTTAACAATAGAATAATTAATAACATATTCCATGAATACGTGTAAAACTGACAACCTTAGTAATACTTCTAGTACTCACCTCAGAGGCGATATGACCAGATACGTGACAACAATCCATATAAATAGGAGGATAACAGCCGCTCGTTTCCATTTCGTAAGGTACATCATAAAGAAGCCATTTAAACCCGCGTGCCCGTTGGGATAGAGTTTCATCATGAACGGCGCATCCTTGTGTCCACGTTACTAGGGCATTTGGTAAAAACGTCTGAAACAAAAGACATACTCGTGAGTTAAAAAATATCGCGGTTTCATAGAGTATTACTACCATCTTGATAATCCATACTAGTCCATACTAATATTATAAATGTGAATGTGTGTTGGTTTGTTTGTTCGTTTGTTTGTTTGTCCGTCTTTCACGTCGACACGGAGAGAATGATAGGGGTGATTTTTTGTGTGGAGATAGTTGGAGGGCTGGAGAGTGGCAAAGGCAACTTTTTACCGCGGGATATTACCTAATTCCCACAGGAAAACACTTTATAATACAATCCAAAAAAATATTATTGATCAGAATTACTTGAAACTAACTATTAATATATCTACAATATATAATTAAATAAATACGTTTTTTAGCATTTTTCGAAATTTATTCTATAAGAGGGTAAAATAGAGGATGAAAGTTTGTATAAAACTACCTTTTTATTAGAGATTTTTTTTGTTGTTTTAGCGCGAGCGAAGCCGCGGGTACTGCTAGTATATAATATGTATATGCAGGTTGTTCACAGACCGATCTATTCAGTATCAATAAGCTATTTTCTAAATAAGTATAATAATAAATTTTTAATAAAAAATGTACACTGACTTCACTTAAAAAGTACCTACTTATCCACTCTTAGCGGTAGAATTTTTATTTGACAAAACCTCCCTTGAGGTATAACTTATTCATTAAAAAAATAATTACGAAATACCATTCACAGTTAGCGAAAATATCGTGTATCGTGTACAAAAAATATAGAATTGAGTAACTTCTCCTTTTCTACATTTTTATATGTTCTATAAAAACTGAAGTTCAGCCTATTACTAATAAATAATGTGTAAAATTGAACTCCAACCTCCCACTAGTACCAGGGGATCGCAAAAATAAGCTCAAAATGTCTAATTTTGTCTAGATGACTATTGACTAATGTTTGTCAAGTAGAGACGAATATCTGTATAATTATAATATTCATACATGAAAAGAAAAGTTGTGTACCCCGTTTTAAATACCCATGGGTGCATGGGCATGGGGTAGCCTGTATGAGCTTAAGCAATAGCTATAGTAAGTTTCGGTATATGGAGAAGGAGTGCGGAAAGCTACAATGTAAAAACTTGTTTCTGCCCGTGCACCCCTCGCGTCATTTATTTATACACCTACATATTCCATTTTTAAAAGATGCAACGTGATGTTAGCCTATAACTTTCAACCGTTTTATACTAATACGAGTATAAGAAGCTTAGGAGTATATTTGTTTATCTACACTGGCTAATCTCTGAGCCTAGGCACCCACAGGTCCGATTTGAAATCTGCATAGGATATAATCTATTTTAAGGAAGTTACATCTACCATGTAACTTTGACAAAAAAATTGAATAAAGTTTAAATTATGCTCAATTTTCGATGCTGATGACGGATGGCTAGTAATTATTATAAATCACTCATTGATTTCGTAGTTCTAACGAGTACCTAAGCCGGGAGTTAAACAGATAGCGTGTAACTATTAAAAGATGCATAATATATAGTTTGGTGGAGACTATATTAAAAACGATAGAAGGCTGGCCAGTCTGCGGCTGGCCGTATGTTCCTACATGTACAATGTACATAGGTAGGTGCATTTCCTTTTACTTCACAACTACTGAACAATGATCCTCACTCGGTATGAGGACGTATAGTAGCTATTCAACTTATTAAAAATAATTTTATATAAACATTTTAGTGAATGACAAACAATGAGTTGTAATTTAAATAAAATTCTCTTGACGACACGTTTGGCTCAGGTTGTAGTGGCTCTACTTGCTGTGCCAGCGGTAGCGGGTTTTAGTCCTGCTGGGGGCATTCATTCGTGTGATGAACACGATTGTTTGTATTCCATTATGGGTGTTTATATTTATTATATGTATGTATTTAAAGTTATACCTATATGTGTAATGCATCAACTATCTGGTATCCATAACACAAGCCTCGTGCTTACCATGGAACCAGATAGTGTTGTTTGTTAATGTGCCAACATATTTAAATAAATAAATAAATATGTCAGGACATTAACACACAACACCATCTTGTTCCATGGTAAGCTACGAGGCTTGTGTTATGGATACCAGATAGTTGATACATTATACATATATAACTTTAAATACATACATATTATAAATATAAGCACCCATGACTAGAGTACAAACATTCGTGCTCATCACACAAATGTATGCCCCCAGTGGGACTCGAACCCGCGACCGCTGGCGCAGCAAGTAGGGTCACTACAAACTGAGCCAAACGTGTCGTCAAAAAACATTTATTATATTTATTTATTTTATAAATTACTAAATGAAATATACTTTGATTTAGCTTCTACACAATTAAAATGATAATGACAATAGCCAACTTGTTTGTATTAATTAATGTTTCAACCCGACATTCTTATTACTAGTTCAAATTAGTCCAATTAACATGTATCTATCAACATCGCGACTTGATGTTTCAGGTACGATGCAAAACGAATTTTGTTACAGAAAGGAACATCAAGTGGAAGCAGCTCAATAAAATTATTTGTATTTAATGGGAAAATAAAATGGAATAGGAAATAAGGACAAATTTCAATCGTCGCTGTCGTTTTTTTTTTTTACTTTACTAAGCGGCTTACAGGCTACAGTTTATCAACCAACTTCAAAAAGGAGGAGGTTCTCAATTCGACTGTATGTTTTTTTTTTATGTTTGTTACCTCAGAACTCCGTCATTTATTAACCGATTTGGACAATTTTTGTTTTGTTTGTAAGGGTATACTTCCAGATTGGTCCCATTTAAATTTCAAAAACAAATACCACCCCTAAGGCTGGATAAACAACCAATGATGAATTTAACCTACTTCTAATTGTCATATTGACTTGAAACCTTGCAAGTAATTCTATTTCCGTTGATAGTACAGTGGTTCGGTGTTGTTGACCTGATCTGATGGCAAGGCCAGAAGGTGGATAGGTGGAACTCTTCAACGGCTAATAGTAGATACTTTAAGTTTGGGCTTATTTTGTTTGATTTGACAAGCCTAACACGTTAGAATCCTTACTATGCTACTACTGTCTACACTAAAAAGGGAAAAATAAAAACTTTTTAACAAAAAAACAAAAACCCACTTCAAACAAAAGCACTAAAAAGTAAAAAATAACTGATTGGTAGTTTTCATTTACTATACATACCTAATCAAATATTTTCGAAGTCGGTGTGCTTTGGCTAAGTAATTAAAGCCTACCTATTAAATACATACCTAATCAAATATTTTCGAAATCGGTGCCAGCCCATACAAAGCAAAGCACACCGACTTAGAAAATATTTGATTAGGTATGTATAGTAAATGAAAACTACCAATCAGTTATTTTTTACTTTTTATTTTTAGTGCTTTTGTTTGAAATCGGTTTTTATTTTTTTGTTAAAAAGTTTTTATTTTTGACTCATTTGCTCGAAATTCTAACCTGTGCCTTCCAGATTACAGTTACTTGTTTTTATTACATTGGTTACTAACCACAACATACTCTTCAATAATTGAATTCTAATTTGTGTATCCTACTTGAGAAGGACGAAACGATTTTTCCCACTAAACTACATTACCGTTATACGAATTTATATTCAAAATATACGAGCGTGTTACGTTGAAACGTAAAACTACCATTATAAAAATGATATTATTATAAGTGAGGCGAACACCGGAACTGCGCTTTTTAAATATTCTGAAAGGCTCACTAGATAAGTATCATTTCCAGATACAGATCACAAATCTATGATAAAAAATTTATATATATGTATATATATGTATTTTATAAAATAGTTTTTTAAAAAACATATGTACTTAAGCTAATTACAGAATGAATAATAGAATGAACATAAACAAACAATTTTCTAATTAAGATACATCTCATCATTCGACGTCAATGAATGAATTTCTGAATAACATCATTGCATTCATCAAATGAGGTTAAATTACACGCTTTTCCCGTGCTCTATCTAAGTCGATTAATCTACACATGAGTGTCTACGTAAATAGGCATCACCGCGCTCATAAAAATGGTATGCGGCTATTGCCATTCAGACGTTAGGACGACGCTATTTTTCATTATATGCACGCTGGAAAATCTTTTATCAAACCATTTCTTTTTACCATTGAAATTGGATTTTACTTGTAAATGTGCATATCAAATCTAAATTTATTCTTAGAACTAGCGGCTCACCCTCGCTTTGCTCGTGTTCGCCTCTAGGAAATCAAAGACAAAACTATCCCACGGGAACCGTACATTTTTCCGGGATAAAAAGTAGCCTTTACCCTAAGTCAAAATGACGGCCCACACACACCATTGATACAGTATGAAAGATGCTATGCTAGACACTGTGTTTGTAATGTTTTGCTTAAACGCGGGAACCCGTCACTTTTATGGCATTAATAAATTAGGTGTGAAGGTGTAAGTTGTTGGGTACTAAGCTGTATAAGTTACTATAGTTTTTTAACAATCCCACGGAAACTTTTTAATTTTCCGGGATGAACAATACTTATCTAAAATGTTGACCGAGGATATAAGGTACCACCACAATGCAAAATTTTATTATATCGCTCCAACAGTTTCGGAGGTTAGCCCGGACAAACAGATAAATAGACAAACAGACAGAGAAACAATAATTTAAAAAAAATCTGAATTAGTTCTATTTCTCTTCTTATATCCTGACTCGGTTTTTAGCATTTTTTTCTATGTACAGACATTAGACCTCTACAGTTTTATTATATGTATAGATAAGATACAAATGAGTTATTTAATATCGCCATGTCTCCCACGACGCGTGTACTACACGAAGCTAGAAAACTAATTGGGCTGGCCCCGCTATACTACGAGTATTTGGTGGCGTCAATATGCAAGACTCGCAAGGAGTAGTTAGTACCCACTCAGACAGTCCTGTTAACAAGAAAGTAATGACGTACTACTTAA